CTCTCATCTGCCTGGGGCTCTGCACATTTTCTGTATTTCTACATAAGCAGTTGTATTGTTTTTTATGTCTTTAAACATTATGTAATATTATTTTATGCACTGTCATCATTTTTCAAATATTGAGACTTTCATAATGTGAATTTGAACTCTCATGGTCCTGAAACTGTAATCTTATTGAAGGGGTGGATTGAGACCATCTTCTGGGTCTTCCGGAAGACAGTCAGGTTATTAAGTTTATATTGACTGGTATCTATTTTTTTCTGTTGGAACACCATCAAAATGGAGGATGGATCAACATAGATACTTTGTAATACTGTCAGAAAATATCTCTGGGTCCGCTCCTGTTATTGACCATGTTACCTGTTGTGCAAGATTAAAATTCAGTGTTGACTGACAGTGCTATTATAAGCATTATTTATTATTGCATCAAAATTGACAAAATGACCTTTTTTGCATCTTTATTTTCTGTTTTTTGTCTGTACATTTGACAGCTTTGCTGCCTTGTTATTTCTAGCCAAGGCCCATAACATAGGCAGCTACACTTCTTTTGTGTCCAGCATGGCCCTACAGAAGATGGCGGAGCTGACCCCAGCCACTCCCCTAGAGATGCAAAGCGTGGAGGGATTCCCAGCACAGATCTACCAGAAATATAATGGAGAGAAGTTCCTGGCTGTGACTAGCAAGTACAGGCAGCAGAGAGACAGTAAGCAGACATTTATAAATAATAATAAAGGTTTTGTTTCGGCACATTTCAACCAAAGTGTTACGGATATGTTTTTCATTGTAACTGGTCCTAATCAAAATCATTAAACATAGTTCTCTGTAAAAAGGAGATTAGAATTGCATTTGAGCCGCCATAGTAAAATGTACCACCCAAATATACTTGGAAGTCCTACATGATAATATTAACAAATTTGAAATTTGAGACATTTCATGAATTACTTGTTATTTCCCCCCTCTGGATTTGTATTCAGATTCACTTCTTATTGCAGGCTTGGTCATCACAGAATTTGAGGAGGAACCTGAAAGTTCCAGTACTGGCAGACAGGTTTGTAGACAGGACGTTTAATACTCCTATGCATTTTAAATAGTAATTTTTTTTTTCATGTGATGGGTATGAAATTTTATATTGCATCTACAAAGAATATTGTAAGGTTTGAAATAAGAAATATTGACAAAATTTCATCTGATAAATGTAGGACGTTTTTTGCCTTTTTCAGGCAAGAGGCACTAAAAGAAAGGGTAAACGTAATTTCAATGCCAAGTCCAAGAGATTCAAAGCAGCAAATAAGTCAACAAAAACCAATACAGGGTAAGATACACTTTCGTAAGCACAGTTGGCAAATGTACAAGAGTTTGAATTTCCTCCAGTCTTCAGATGGAATCATAAGCTTTTGACACAGTTTTAATATTTTTCATTACATGTTCAATATACACAGTTGAAATCTTAGATAATAATGGATTTAATAACTAGTAAAAGGAATAAGAGAAGGATGGGTATTTAGACTATATTATTGTAACTTTCTTGAATTTCTAAAAGAAAGAGACTGGCTTTACAGCCTGATATACTCAATAAATGAGATTAGCTGGCTTCACAATTTATGCCTTGTCTCTGGAATTGTCTCACCTTTATAGAGAGCATAAAACCCAAGCAGTTGCAAACATGTTGTGCGTACTGCAGAGTCAATCATCCACAATTACATGCACTACCATGACCAGGTTGAAATTTAATGTCAATGTTTTTTCTTCAGGGGTTCATTTAATCAGTTCTCCTATAATAAGAGTAAATCTGGAGGGGGAAACAGAGCAGGGCAGAACAAGGCAAAGAAAGCTGGCACAGGAAGAAAACTTGGGATGATGCCTGACCCGACTCCAGGTCAGTGGAAAAGCACTGATAACTTTTATTGACTTTTATGACTTATAATTGTGACTCAGAACTTTTTTCACCATTATATCAAAACAAATGAAGAGCAGGGTCTGCGTTTGAAAACAATTTTCAGAAGTGAATAAACTTTTAGTTTTATAGTGGGCATGTAAAGAATATAAGGAAAAAGTTGTTACAAAAGTGTAGTTACAAAATGGTTGAGGATACTGAGGATCCGATGCAAAGGGTAATTTTATTTTTATTTTGCATATTTGAAAGGATTGCTACAAGTGGTAAGCAGATTCTTACTCACACCTATTATTTTAAAGATATCTGTCTGCTTTATTTGATTTTTATTTACCAAATTTTGTCACAATATTTCTGTCTGTTATTTATATTGTATGTTATGTTTTTAGTCACTTTATTTTCTCTTAGAATTTTAGTAATGAATAAAGAAAAATACTACAACTGCCACTGTTTATTTTACTTTATTTTACCCATTACATAAACCAATAAAAAAACCTGAATATCAGAGTATCAATGTATTGCTAAATTATTTCAATGCTATAGAGATCAGTATCACAATTAGACATTGTGCTGTTAATTATTCGAAAAGGAATTAATCTACATCTGCCCCCCGTTTCAGAGTATTTACTAGTCTATAAGATACTGTTTAAATATCTCTCGCATATGCTGGAGTAAAATTTACACAATAACTCTGAAATCCGGAACATCAATATCAGTTCATCATAAATACATAAGTAAATTGAAATGGAGGAAATAAAAAAATATCACAGAAATGTAGTATTACCCATTGGTATACATGCTCACTTTCATGTACAGAATATCGTCAGTTTAATCTGACTCGCTGTTACGTATTATAGATGTATAACATCACGTATAATTACAAAATGTTAAAGGGAAAGATATAAAATTTATCTGAGTAGTTATGATCTATAAAAAAAAAAAGCATTGAAAATTACACTACAAAAAAAAAAAAAATTATTTTTGTAAAAAAAATGTATCACTCCTTTCATGTATACTGAATACATGGCAAGATATAAAAAAATCTTTACTGACTGTAAAACCCTGGAATGTCTTCACAAAAAAGCCATTACCTGACATTTATTGTGTACACAATACATGGCAGGTCAATATGTACAACTAGCTACAAATTAAACATCAGTATGAAAATGGAATGTTATCTTAAAATCACTTATTGGATGGGTACTATGCACAATCTTATATCCAAACAAAAAAAAATGTAGGCACAGACATGATGTAAATTTGTTTGAACTTGACCAAAGTAATAGTGTAAAATATATACAATAGCAACTGTAAAAATCCACAATACTTTGTAAAAATATTTATAATCAAAATACCTTAATATATATAAGTACTAATATATTACACAAATGTAAAACTATACAATAATCATCTCTAATAATGGTGTATAAATATGAGATAAATCTGCACATATGCATGCAGCTTAAATCATTCATATTACTTGGTATTGAATTAATTAAAACTTCTACACATTCTAAGTGTTATGCTCTCTACAGACATATTTTACATATCTGTAATAAGTAAACCAACTTCAACATCTTTCAATACCTTTCTCCACATGCCATCACAATAAAATAATAAATAAAACGGTATTAACAATATTTGGTGAAAGTTCACTATATATCTACATCAAATGGAATGTTTCAGCATTGAAATTACTTGTCATCGTCTTTGTGCTGAGCCTTTCCTTCTACCTTTGGCTGACACTGGTGGCAAACCCCCCTCTTCATCTAATCCAGAGTTTCTTCTTGCACTGGCACTGGGCTCTCTTTTCTTGGCACTGGTAAAAATAAATAAATGAAACCAGTTACAATGAAAGCAAGACGGCTCATGACACTAGCATTCCTAGCTGCTGTTTGAAAGGTAATTTCACAAAGGTAATTTCACACATTTAGTGACAGAACTGCTGTTTTGTTAAAAACCAAAAACTATACTGTCATTTAAACCTAAATAACTGTTTCCTATAAATGCAGAGATTTTGAATCTACAAATGAAGAGATGAAAACAGGTAACTTAAATTCACAAATTTAATATTAATCTGTACCAAAAAGTAATATGGCAAAAAAAAACATCCTTCATAAATTAATCATTCAGTGATTTCATATCTGCTTTATTTAAAACATTTCAAACAAATTTTGTATCAGATGCTACAACACAAGTGAAATAGGAATAACAGCAAGTTAAAACAAAGCAAAGCCAAACAACAAAATTTTACCTTTTCTTGGCTGACTTAGTTTTTCTGGAAGATTCTGGTGTGACATGCGCTAGTGTTGCCAAACGTGCTCGCTCTCCAAGTCCAGTTTTAGGCCTACAGACAGACATAGAGAAGTGGGGTGGGTTATAAGACTGGACGTAGTTTAAAGACACAAAAAAGGTATTGTGAGGCCCAGTTCAAGTATGGATCCACACAGAGCACCAGAACTCCACAATACATATAAAGAACCAGCCAACCAAACAGTTATGTTTACCTTAATTGATGGTTTAATCTAGTTTAATACTGCCCATCTTCTACCTGGAGTGCAGTAGTAGTAAATTAGCATTCTCGTGCCCTTTACAAATACTTGTAATAAATATATTATATATGCTTTTGGACTTATTTTCTTCTTCAAATTTCAATAAACATTGGTGATTTTGATTCTTCTTTATGTTGAGAATTCATTTTAATAGTTTATCTGTCAGGTCAATAACTGAAAATAAACTCCTCATTAACGCATTTTATCAAAATAAGCTAAGCAATAGATTGAGAAAACTAAAAAAAACCACAAGTGTGACTTCAATAAAAATGTTGTCATTACATTTGTCTCCTGCATTGAAGGAGCAATTTTTGTTTCCTAAAATATTTTTTCACTCATATCCTAGTGTTCCGTATATTATCGTACCTTTCATTTTTCTTGGTGGCATCATCCCCTTGATACACCATCTGGAGAAGCTTATTCTTTTCCTCGGTGTCCTTCATTGGGAAGAGCCAGTTGATCATGTCAGCAACCTCCTTCTCATTGAATTGACCAACCTTCACAAGACCACTTATAAATTCAAGTTCCTGGAAGAAAATCCAAATGTGCATAATTTTGGGGTTGTTTAAATAATGTAGGAAATTATTTTGTTTCTTTAAAGTCTGAAACATATGAACCAACAACAAAAACTTATAAAAACTCAAAAATTTGATATCTAGCATTCAACTCTGTGGTAATATACTACAAAAACCAAGCAATAAATTTCAAATATAAAAATATGAAATTTTAATTATATATCAATATCATCAAGTTGAAGAACATGTAGGAACTAAATGCCTACCTTCTGTTGAACGGCCTGCATGTGCTTCATATTGAATTCTCTTTTCATGCTCTCAATCTTCTGGTTCATTTCTGTGACTGCGTCATTTCTGAATTATAATATTAAATTTCAGAGATCATTATTTGTTCAAAAACAAGCATGAAAATTATGCATATCAAATTTTTATAGAAAAAGTCTACCATCTTTTTATAGCTATTCAAATTATGCTGGTATTCTAAAAACTCAAGACAAGAAACAAATAAACAGTTAATTGTGACTAAATATTTTGATAAAAGGCAATTACTTTAAAAAAAAATTACCAGATGTGGATAAATCTGTAATTCTTTTGTTCATAAATGGATTAAAATATGGCAAAAATATTCAAGAAAGATAAAGAGAAAAACTAGTAGTCCAACTAGTGCACACCGAATACTAACTTCATAGCCTCTAGCTCGGCTGCCTGTTTTATCTTCAGCGACACGGCCTTGAACCTGGCTGCAGTTTTGTTGGAAGTAGTTTGGAGGAGAGATTTGAGTTGGTCCTCATGCTCCATCATCATAGTCTTCTCTCTCTGCATCATTTTTTCACTTAATTTCTCTTGGAGCAGCTGGAAGGATGAATAATAAAAATGAAATAAAAAAAAACAGACTCAAGAATTTGTTTATTTAGTAAAGGAACCCACGAACATCCATTTATCAATTTGAAATCAATATCTGTTAAACATATGAATATATATGTTTCCAAAACAATATTAGCTAAACAATTTATAAAGAAATGACACTGACAATATTTGTTGACTATCAATAAAATTTACTGATCATTAATAAGACAAACACACTTCCATTACAATTTTAACCAAATACATCAATATAAACAAATTATGAAATAAACTGAAAAGCAACAAAATAAAAAAAAAAACAGTAATAGCATACAGATTAACTTTAAACAGACACTTCATATGTAAGTAACAGAATTCAGCCAAAAGACATTTCCTAGCCCTATGTTACAATTGCATCTTCAAAACATACCCTCTGTTGCCTTTCCTTTTGTTGCTCTAGCTTTTTATTCAATTGTTCCTGCTGTTCCTGGTGTTTCTCCAGCACTCTCTGAGTGTCAGGGTCAGACATTACTCCCTGGGTGTTTAGCTCCTCCATTAAACTGGATTTTAAGTTGAAAATGGCCTTCTGTTGTTGATCAATTTTAGATAGCTGAAAATAAAAAAACAAGATTCTTTTAAAATTCATTTATAAACATATTGAAAAGAAAATCTAGTTTTAATAATTTTCTATTGCTAACAAAGTTTTGTACAAAAATTTTGTGTAATCTTATTGGAAAATTTTGTTGTCTGGTAAAAATGTACATTCATCTTATTTAGTTTGAAAGCTGAAAATAAGTGTCTGATTGAAAAAGAAGATAGCCAGACCTGTTTCTGCATGTTCAAAGGTACCACTTCATAAAAAATCAGGCAATCACAAAATTACAGAAAGTGGGTAGGTTTTGAAAAAACATAACAAGGCCTGTTTTAAATTTAAATCTATACTTTTAACCTAATATAAAAATAGTATTATGAAGCAAGACAGGATTCCTTTGTAGAAATTTGCTGAGACACTTTATTTTGTTCTCAGTTGCACTTAAATTTACCTCTTCTGCCTTCTTCAGCTGCATTTCTGCCACCATGGCCCCCAGCTGGTCCTCTTGAGCTTTTAGAGCAGCAGCACGCTCCTTGATCATATCTTCACGTATCTAGAACAAACACAAGTGATTTAATTTTCTGTGAGTCATACACATCTCTTTCCCAAGGCTTTAAGTCAAAAATGGACAAAACATGGGGTGCCTTGCAACAGTTTGGCACATGTAACTTGCTGTTTTAAGGAAAATTGCACACAAAAAGCAGCTGTTCTTCAAGAGATATTCTCAGACACAATCTGAAACAGTCATGAATTGATTAATAAAAACAAGTTTTTAAACTTGCCTAAATAGAAAGTTATTGTTGTAACACAAAATTTTTCTATTGAATTGCAAAAGATATTGAAGAACAGACGTTATTGAGTACTGAGGAAGAGTTATCAGATTTCCCTGGCAAATGTAAACAAAAATTAGAATTTTTTTCATATAACTGTTCATCATTAAGTTTCAACATGCATGTATCTACTGTGACTTGTTAGGATTTTATAGCAACTTAATTGGAAGCCAAATATCTTTACCTGCTCCATTTCTTCTTCCAGTTTTAATTTGTCTCCCTGAAGCACAGCCAGCTTCTGTTCAGCGTGTTTCCTCATCAGAGCAATAGCTGCTTGGTGTTGTTCCTCTTCCTCCTCATCAGCAGTCTTCAGTTTCTTTTCTACTCTCTATTAGAAACAAAAATTAATTATATAACATCTGTGAAGAATTCTTGAATATTTCTTGAAAATGTACTGAAAACAAATGATATTAATTTTATAAAATGCAAATGAAACTCTTTAGCATAAAGATTCTGCATTTTAAAATGTTAAACTCTCTACCTTTGTTTCTTTTAACTGCTTCTTCTCAAGTGTTTCCATGTGCTTTGCTCTTTTCTCAGTCAACTTTTTCTCCAACATTCTCTTCTGGTGCAGTTTATTAAGAGTCAGTGAATTTTCCAGCTTCACCATTTGTTTCTCATGTTCCTTCATAATCCTATCTCTCTCTTCATCAGATACTGCAACTTGGTTATCAAGCATTTTCCTGTAAAGCAATGAACCTCTAACTTATATGTTTATGAAAAAGAAGTGACAAAGGCCTTCAAAACGTTTTTGTTGTTGTTTTCTGTCAAATAATCACACATATACAATCTAAATGTTATCTCTCTCAAATCAAGAGAAAGTACAGTTGTAATGCTTATATCCTTAAATATATCTTTATTAAGCTTCTTGCCCTTCTGTGCTAACCATAAATTAAAAATATGATTTTAAGTAACAAAAAAAAAAAAAAAACAAAGAAAGGGTTGCCATAATTTTCAGCAAACTTGTAATATTAATATGAGAATGCACATATAAAGAATTTTTAACTGTTTTTTAACCTAGCTATTATCTTACTTTGTCAGATTCTTTTCATATTCTCTGATTTGTTCTTGCTCCAGCTTTTCTGCTTCTCTTCTTTGTTGCAACTCTTTTTTCTTTTCTTTTAACTTTCTCTGCAAAAAATTTGAATAGTAAAATATATACGTTAATGATCACAATATTACAATCAGACACTGAATACAATGAAATAAGACAACAAGCAAAAAAAAAAAAAAAAACATACAGAATTCTGTTATTAACATTTCTCAAAGATGCAAAATTACACAGATATACACTGTATAAGGTACTAAATGATATTACCTATTTTTTGTTCATTACATACCTGTAAGTTTTCTTGCTGCTTCTCTCTATCAGTCTGTTGTGCCAGCTCAAGCTTATTCAATTGTAAATTGTGCTGTTTAAGTATCTGTTTGATTTGGTCATCCTCCATGAAGCCGTTATTCTTCAACTTATCCAAAAATGCTTGGCGGTTGGTTTCTAATTGTTCTTTTGTCTCATCTGTGACTTTTTCACGTAATGTCAGAAGTTCTCTTGTCTGTTCCAAGTCAATTTGATTTTCTAGTTCTGTCATCTCAGCCCTGTGTTTTGAAGTCATTATTGCTTGTTTTTCTATTACGGCTATAGGATCTAAAAATTGAAAAAAACAATCAATTTTTACCATATCATCTCCCAAACACTGCTTCCATTCAAACATAAAATGGTTGGACAGACACGTTTCAGCAGTGAACCACAATTTGAGCTATATGCACTCCTTGATACAATAAATCTTTACCAAATTGGAATATATTTATGTGTCTGTTACTGTATTACTGCACTAGAGTTCATGACTATTATAGGCATCTTCCATTCATTTTTTCAATATGTGGACACCTTACCAACATTGTCTTGTGCCTGTTCTTCTTTTTGTTTCTTTTGTAACTCATCCAATTCTTGTTGTTGGAATTTTGCCTGAATATAAATCATTTTCGTTTTGTAATGGTAGAAATGATTGCATGTTCTCAGCAAAAATATTGATGCACATCAAATATTACTCAAATTCAGTTTTTTACCTTGGCAGTGATAAAAACAGCATTTAGACTATATAAATCAAGTGACAACCAACATGAGATTTTAAAAATATGAAAAACTCTTGTAACAGATAAAATCTTTGATAAATCTCAGTCATTATTATACCTTCTCAGCCAACTTTTGTTTCTTAGCTTCTCTCAATCTCTTCTTTAACTCAGCTTCCTGTCTGGCACGTTCAGTGTCATATCTGTTCTTGGCTGCCAGCATCTCCCTTGCAATTTCTTCTCTGTATCGTTCTGCATCATCTTCATCCATTATTTCTTGTCTAAAAGATAAAGTAAATTTTCATTGAGTCAAATAGCCTTTTGTATAATAATTGTTTAAACAATTGACTCATTGGTCAAAGACATTTTAAGTCTTTTTACAAGAAATTTACTCTTATCTGTTTCCCATTAAATTTTGATGTCAAGGTTCTTAGCCAGAATGAAAAAATGAGACCAAAGATATTTCTACCAGCCAAAACAAGCTAGCTAAGGTTTAAATTATAGAGCCATTTTTAACATTAACCCAAGAGTTCATTAATGCCTGGAAAATCATTTATGAAACTTTTTTTGCTTATCTGCATTCACCTACAAAAAAATCAACTTACCAAGTGAAACATTTTTTTTGTTCTCTAATTTTTTTAGTTTTCATCATTTTCACCATTTCACATTTAAAAAAAGGTAAAAATTTGACATAACAATCATCCACGCTATAGCATTTCAATTTTATTAGACATGCACTTGAGGCGCCCTGAGATTCATGGGACACTCCAAACTTGTCTCCCTATCATCAGCATGCCTATACTGAAAGGAACATAGACAAGCTGATAGTATTGGGGTGAGTTTCCAATGTCTTTTGAAACTCGGGCCAATTGGAAGTTGCCCAATTAAAAAAAAAAAGTACACAACTTACTTTTCCAACTTTTGCACCACTTGCAATTCCTGCTCTGCCAACGTGTTCAGCACCTCGCTATACTCATCCTCCTCGCCATCCGCCATACTGGCCAGCATCCTTCGTCTGGTCAACTTCTCCTCCAGTGCGGCTCTCTGTCTGGATACCTCATCATCATAGATCTTATCAACCTTGAAATTTGACCAAAAAATTAAATGAAGCTAATGCCTTGATCAAAAGTCAATATTTGTAAAGATTATTCACGTATATCATGTATTTGTCTGGATACCTAATTATCACAGGTGGTATACACCTTCAAAATAACATTAAAACGCAAATATGTTGATTTGAATAGATTATATAGAATAATATAATGAATAAAATAATGCTTTACCACTACTGACAATGAGCAAAATTAAAATCATTATCAGTAATTATCAGTTTATTTCCCAAGCTTCTGACAACAGAATTTCTACATTTTTATAGATAGAAGCAACTTTGTACCTTCTCCTGGTTTTTCTGATGCTCATTTATTATCCAGTCAGCTTGCTGTTGGTTCAGTTCTCCTTGTTCAACAATCTGTGACAGACATTGCCTTTGTATATCTTTAACTGCAGCTCTCTTTTTGATAGAAAATTCCTGAAAAAAGAACACACAATATTAAAAACCTATTGAAGTAAACATAAGATACACTGCTTTTATCCGATAACAAGTTCTTTTTAAATAAATGTAAGAGGAACATTTTGTTCACTACTCTGTCATATCAATTTTTTCCTGGGCAATAAGTGTTGACTTTCAATGGCTCACAGATGAAATTACAGTTTAAATCATATTTCAAATATCTGTATTTAAAATGGGTTAGTTTTGGAACACACAGAATGCCTCAAACTGTGTGGTTTGAAAAATTTTTACGAACCTTCCTTAGTTTCTCCGACTCCTCATCCTGTTCCAGTTTCAGTAAATGGACGGCATCTTGCTGCTGAATATCATGCTCTTTTCTCAGTATTTCAAACACTTCTGCTTTCTCCTTAAATTGTAAAAATATGATTATTCTAAAATGATGTGGAGTGGGATAAGTGACAAAATTTAAAAATCTAACATATTTCTTGTTCTGCTTGCCCTGTTGTTTCAATGCTTGAACTCTTTCTTTTTATGGTTGTTCAATAATTCATTATGAAAAAATGAGAGAAAATGCAAAACTGGTCAGTGCATTTGTACCTCAATCCAAATGCCAAAAGATCACAAAGAAATATAAATTTTCATCAGTCATTGTCGAGTTTTAATATTAAATCTATAACAGTGAGACAGTGAAATACTGGTGTGTTCCTCTACTGAATTTAATAATTACCTCATCGGAGGCAGTATTCATCTGTCTCTCCAATTTATCCTTTTCTTCTTTTTGTTTCTTCAAAATGATTGATATTTGTTCCTATGAAATAATTAACAATGAATTGTAAAACATATTCAATGTAATATATAAATCAGCACACCACAGTTACATAATCATTGGAAGTACATTTTTCTATAATATGTTTTTCTACAAAAACAATCCATCTGTAAAAATAATTTTTTCCTCCCCTTTCCAATTTTGATATAACTAAAACTTCTGAAAATTAAATCGACCAGTCAAATTTAAACAAATAAGTACAAAATAAGTGAATCCACAATTCTGTGAAGTGAAGCTTTGAAATTTACCTTATTCTTTATACTAATCATTCTAAACACCTCCTCCATGGCAACTTTGTACTGATTCTCCATGCTAGCTTCCATTTCTTTGACTTTCCTCATAAACTCCTTAAGGGCAGCTTCTTCCTTTTGGCGACTGATGTCACCATTTTTTCTCAAACTTTCAATAAGCATGGTTAAAGCTTGCTGTGAGGAATTGTAACGCTGTTTCTCAATTTCTGTATCAGTTGTGATGGTAGATGCAATGTCAATGCTGGAGAATGAAAAGAAAACACTTCAGATATATTTTGCTTTCAAATGATTGAGATCTTAAATAAACCAATGATGACACATGAAATTCCTCACACTTATTTACCATATGGTCCTACGTGTACAAGACTTAAGATGTATTATTATTATTATCATTATTATTATTATTAGAACCACAGAGACAGGTCAGTCACTATTGGACCTCAAAACGGTTCATTTGCCCATGAAAAAAAAAACATTGATCCATTTATAGGATATTGATAGGCCTAGTTCTAAGTGCAGAGGACAGAAGTCTTGTTAATCATGCAACACAGTTTCAGTAATTATCATTTCTGATTCAGTTCTAGAAGTCCCCACCTGTCTAGAGCTCTGTTCTTCTGCAATGGATCTCCCATACAGTGAATAACAACCAAACTTTCTTCTTCATCAACAGTGCTGAAAAAATAAAAAATTTTAAAATTACATAACAATTTACATATATCATAATATTCCTGTGAATGAATGATTTTTGTATTATGAAATTTAATAATAATGCTGACACTGTTGTCTTACTGTCTAAATACTGAGCAAAATTTGTAAAAAAAAACCCTCTCTAAAACTTATGTATTAATCAGAAAAATGTATGTTACTGCAGAATTATTAAAATAAATGGTGACTACTTGAAAAATTGTCAATTCCAACCTCTGATCCTTGATATTCTTGTAGCCTTTCTTCATGGCATGGTTTGCATTTGTTATTAGGCCATGTCGCAGCTGTAATCAAAAGAATTTCATTTAATATATCTTAAAAGAACTTAAAATGCACAAAATGGTGATAAAAAGATTTATCAAATACAAAATACAAAATGACAAGAAAAGTCTCAAAATATCAACTCATAAAAATAATAACTGATCTATACCAGTCTTATAATACTACTGACTTCTGCCTGTCATATATTCTCCTAGCATTCATCACACCTTTTAATCAATATTCAAATATAAGAAGTAGTCTTTTTTATTTTGCTATGCCCTGAAAGTTCACTCACATTGTCTGTGGATGGGGCAACTTCATTACCAATGCCATTCTTTGCTACTTTAACATACACCACAACTATCAAGAACACAATGGCTGCCCCCAGCAGCAAGGCCAGGAAAAATGACAGGGCTGTCAAACCATGCTGATACAGCAACTGAAATAAAAACAAATATATTAATGTAANTGTCAAAATGTACATAAATTGCCCTCCAGCAAAACTTCTCCCAAAAACTTTAATTAGATCATATGTACTCCATCACAACATAGTTTTTTCCTTTTTAATTTTCACTTCACTACCTATTTAAGGAACATTTTTGGAATTTGCCAATCATTTTCTGACTCTGAAGTGAGTCAGTTGAACAGTTACCACCTTTAAACTAGTCTTCAAAGTTATTCTGTGTTCATATCTATATATTGCAGCAGTTTTTTTTAGGGGGAGGGGGGGAGTATGCAATCTGTTGTAACAAAACACATACAGTTTTCACATACCATCAGCTTTAGCTCCTATGAAACTCAAAGTGGCACAGACTGTAACAGCGCCACCAAAAGCAACACCACCAAGAGGAACGGTATCTTTGACAGTCACATTGACATCAACATTGGCATCCAGGCTCGGACCATGTCCCAGGACACCAATGGAAAATCCAGTAGTGGTTAAGACATTCTCTGATATGGAGAGATTTGTCATTGTTGGAGCCGCCAGGGATGCAGCAAGGAAATTGGTATGTTGACCCAAGTTAACTTTAATCTAAGATAAAAAAATGTATTGAATAATTTTATTAGATATATTTGTTCATGATGTACATGTAATATGTGGCCAAGCAAGTGTTTTTGTACCACTAAGAGAGAGAAGAAGAGAGCAGAACCAGTGGAACCTTTTTGAAGTGTTATCTTAATATCTAAGTATTGATATTTTCCAGTATACCGTTGCTGTTTTCACAGTGACCAGCAGCACAGGTATACTAATCAATAATGATTACATAATACTAAGAACTCTAGTTGACAACAAATACAGATCATTATATAATAAATATGGAGACAGTTTTAACTTAACAATTAGATCAATACAAAAGATTTAATAGATAAACGTATGAGACTAGGATTTTTTCACTGAAAAAAAACAATAACATGTTTACTACACTGTGTAGTAAACATATTATTGTTTTTTTTTTCAGTGGTTTTTAATTTGAAGAAAAAAATCCTAGTCTCATAAGTTTATCCATTAAATCTTTTGTATTCAGTGTTAATTCAAAATTTAAAACAAGACACTGTTGTAACACAATTTTGCCTGCATATTTCTTAACCATTTGACAAAGATATAAATGCATTTTAATAAATTGGTGTTCTTAATTCATACAGTACCTGATTAACAGTTAAATTTCCAAGCACAGACTCCGCTGGCCTAACGTACATCCAAAAGTGTGCTGTATCCCCAGCTTGCACTTTCTGTGGATTGGAGAACACATTGATGAGGACATCCACCTTCCCAATGAACAGAGATTTGGAAGACGACACCATTCCATAATTCAAGGCATCACATGTTGTATTAACTGCAGCAGTGAAGTTATACGATGTTGCTGGTGTCACAGACTCATTTACTCTCAGTACTACAGTAAACTGTAGAGTAGTATTGGAGAAATTCCCATAATCGGCAAAGTTTGATCCCCATGAAAAATCAACAGCTTTTGGTGTAGTTGTAATGGTGGTTGAATTAGCCTGGAGAAAGTCTACACCATCTACAACTTGTACTTCTGTATTCAGCACTTCAACATAGCTTTGAAACGTGACATTGCAGGTTGTAATGTTATTGATATCAGAAGCACAGTTATTGGAATAAGTGAAATGCGGTATCTTCAGGGAAACAACCTCCAAGTCAAAAACACTGGCATCCAGGGCACCGAATGACACATTAAAGGTGACTGTCACATTGTCACCAGTGTAAGCTGCTGGACCTTGTCCAGGCCTCTCCACATAGTCTGTTGATATTTGAACCTGAGACAGGCTAATACAGTCAGTAGAAACATTGCTTGATGACTGAGGTGAAGGCAGGGCATGTGCAATGCTAGTGACTGTGGATACAACTACCAAGGCACCCAGAGTGAAAGTGATTAAACTTGTCCTCAACCCCGACATGTCACTAATAGCAATTTTCTGAAATTATAAATGCATATTATAGGATGGATTTTTGCAATCCCCATCATCTACAATGTTAATTTAGTCAGCTTGAATGTCAAATCAATAATAATTTATTTCTAAATTCTAGTCTACAAATTTATTATTTTAACGATTGTATTGTATCAGCATTGAATAACTCTCAGTAAAGGTCAGTATAAAAAAAACTAGAAACAAGACATTTGATGGCTAGGGATGGCTACAGTGTACACATGTAACTTTAAGTTTCACTTCACATGAGGTACATGTACTTACATGTAGTAATTGCTTGCAGAGAAGACGTACTTACCAATTTTCACTTTCACCAGTCCCTTGCGTACGCCAAGCAATATATTTGCGTAATATCTATAAATGTATATTAGTTTCTTTTGCTTCCATAAAAGTGCTCAAAAGGTCAAAAATGTGTGAGATTGCACAATAATAACAATGGGCTATGTTGATCGCCAGTTGTGGAAACCATACTTCCGAGCACTTGTGCGTAGCCGTTTCAAGTTCTCCAATGCCTTGCCTCTCCACAGTGTTCCATTCACGTTATTTGGTGATCGCGAGACGTCACACCATGGCGACGGATACACTGCTCAGCAGTAACGAGTAAGGTTTTGACAGGTCTTTCAAGTTGGTATTATTTTAACTATTAAAAAATTACGTGACAACCCAATATCTGCCAGATTTATAATTTAGCATGTACTTATAGAAATAAAAATCAATTTAAGGTATCAAAACTGCTCAGTTACTTATTATTTGATTTCAGATTATTAAATCCGCAACCTAGTTTACCAACCTCGATTCAGTGCTGTGGAACATATTCTTATATTACCACAAATAATGAGACTTAGTCCAAGGTGTCGTTGAAAACAGAAGTTAAAATGTCGGGCACCTGTGTGTCCATCACGATAGACCAGGAGCAGGACACTTGGGAGGCGGATAACCTTTGGATAGGCTTAGCTTTCTTGTTGGGTTTTATAGTTGGCGCGGCTATTGCTGGCGCTTGTGCCAAAGTGTGTATTAAAAGCTGGAGCAAAAAGAAGGTAGGCTTTATTGTTTTTGTGAACTTCTTCATCATGCTGGGGTTTTGTGCGGTAGAAAAATACTGATATCAATATAATACTGGGTAAAACAGATCAGTCAAATCCTTTCCTTTTGCATTTTTACTCATAAGGCAGTTAACTATTTAGTTAAAGTTTAGCTTTAAAGCATGCATGATGAGATGTTTTTATTTTTTTAAAGGCAAACAAACAGCACATTGTATCCACAAATATCCTAAAATGGTCTCTGTTGCACTTGTGTGCTTTCAGCTTAATTTCATAAAAATATGCAAAAAAATCTTGTAATTTATATAGTGCAAAGATTAATACTAATAAATGAAAAAATGAATAAATAAAATAAAAAAATAAGATCAAGAATTACATTTTTGTATGTTACTGCACAGATGCCAACCACATCACACACGCTATTTTGTATTGTGACAAATGCTACTTGAGATCTGGCTGTAATATCTCCCAGCTAGGAATAATGTCATTACATGTCATCAAATACAGTATAAACACAGCATGCCAGGGTGTCATTCATATCTTTCAGCAACAAGATGCAAAGGAAAGGCAGATGTTATTGCAGTATGATAACACATTCTCAGGAGCTCCACAAGAAGAAGATGATGAAGAAGAAGTTATTGAAGTGGTTACGTATGAAGTTGTTGACCCCTACGCACAAGCTAGTGATAAAGGAATGACTGAAGCCTTGGTCCAATCCAATAGGTATTTGTTGTGATTTCAAAACATTTTCAACTTTTAAAAATTGTTCTCATGCTGTGGAAAGTTTAAGTGAAAGTGTTTTATGTACTGTACTTATGTTGTTAACAATTGTAAATGTTCATATTCTTCATACATGTAGGTTTTATCACTGAAAAGTAAATTTAAATATATATATATATATATATATATATATATAAAGAATATGTAACCTTTTATGACTGGGATTGTTTCCAGTGTACTGGTAGTTTGTTGTATGTCAATTTAAACAGAATCTCAAAATCAAACTTTTTTTGCCTGAACACATAAAAGATTCAGTAAATTTGATGGCTTTATAATGCATGATTTATTGATATATAGTGAAGCAGCAGAAGTGAAACTTGGTGAACAAGACCTGGCAGCTATCTTAAGTATGGAAAATGAGATGATCCAGCAGAGGGCAAATGTACGTATCATTTTATGGGGGTCTTGTTGGCATACTTGTTCTCAAACCATAAAATGGGTCTCTCACCAAATACATGATGAATTGACAAAAGTTGTTGGGTGAAAATTGTCCACATCAGCCTATTAATCATATATTTGATAATTACGTCTTATGACTATCAACTTCACATAAAGGGGTGGTGTGTATGAAAACTGATCTTACATATAAGGAAAATAATAATATTGTGATAAATTATTACAACCTTGCATTACCTGGAAAACTGATAAGAAAAATGTCCAGTTGCTCAATTTTATGACTTCTTGTTGATGAAAAATTAATTGTTTGATTGATATTAATCCTTTCACATTTTATTTATTATAATTTATAAGATGTACTGTTGGCTACAATAAATGCTCTTTCTCTCTGTTAATTTTGTTGTTAATTTTCATTCCAGAGTTTTGCGTACCTGCTGCAAATTCTTCTGAATCAGCTGGTCACAGCTGGAAGGGTGGCTGCAGAAACTGTTCCAACTTTGATTCTGATGGTGCAAACTGATTTAATGCAAGCAATGGAAATCAGTCTACAGGAAGTAAAAGAGGAGGAAAAGGTAAACCTTGCAAGACAGTTTGTCGTGGAATGTACAGAAAATTCCAAGGTGTTTTTATCATGTTTTTAAATATTTATAATATCAACAGCGTAGATTGTTAATTTAACGTTGCCTTCTGATTATCTGGAAAATGATTCAGATATACAGCTTTAACATGGCATATATGTTTTAATTTAAATGATATTATATTCCAGAAATTGAGAGCAGATCCCAAACTGGCAGACAAACCAGAAGAACTGAATCAGCAAATAGATGCTCTTCACCCCAAGATGCTACAAAAGATGGTAAACATTTATTCAGAAAACTTAAACATTTTAACAATTGTTTTAACAATTAAAATAGTTTTTGTGCAGCTTATACCACACACTATCTAGTATTTTCAAATAAATTTGTTTCTTGTTTTTTTTTTTTTTTTTGTAAAGTTGATGTGTTAAATGGCACTTCAAATATGATATAAGATATTTGTTTGAATTAAATAGTATTGATTTCTCTTAGCTTTCATACATCAACAAAGAAGAGGAGAAAGTGAGAGAAGAATTGAGAAAACTCCCTGAGCTGAAGGAAGATGATGTAAGCCATTTTTTAAATAAAATATACCAAAAATTTGTTTCAGAAATATAATATAATTGTTAACTACTGTATTGCTTATCAGATCTGTACATTTTAACCAGATTTGCCTGGCACCAAATATACAAGATAAATGTATATCATACTTCATGTAATGAAAATGTAAGTTCGCTGTATTTCCTGTTTAATAGTTATTGAATATTTTGCATTAGGAGGTAGTTGTTAAAATGTTTAATGATATTAATTTTGAATGTTTTTTAGGAATGTGTATTAAACAAATATCTTTTGGTGTTTAGGTTGAGGCCATTTTAACAAAACTCACTGAAGATGTCACAAGAGCTGAAGAGAAATTCAAGGAGGAACAAGCCAGACAAGCACTAGTGAGTTACCATTTCTGGAGTTTAATACAATACTATATGTAAATGATACAACCATGCAGTCATATATTCAGTTAACTAGTTAATGTGCAAGTAATTTCAGTAAAACAGAACGGAGAAAAATAATGAATCAGGACTCCATGGTTATTGCTGCATATGTTTTTTTTCTTTGTTTTTAATATGCTCTGTATTTATTATTATTGTTATTATTATTTGGTTTCTAAAAGACTTGTCTCAAAAGATAGTTTACATGTAATTTTTGGCAGTTGTTTTAAAAATGTTTGATAAATTTACAGTACCTTGAAGACAGAATGGCAAGGAGAAGAGAAAATGCAGCAAGACTTTTAGAGAAAAAAGCAGAAAAGACTGATGACATTAAAACCCAAGTAGAATCTTTTGATGCCACTTTAACCAATATGGTTGAAAATGGTCAATTGATTGAAAGGCAGAAAGATGAGCTTATGAAAGAATACCTGGAAAATTTAGAGAAAGCACAAACAGAATATCAAACAGGTATTTCATATTTTGGTCATTACATTATTCTTAAAGATATCAAGATGTGTGTTTGCATTTTTTTCATTGGTAGTTTGAGATGTGAAAAAATAAGGGTAGGGGAGAAGCTCTTTTTCCCCTAAACAAAACACGATGATTATGATCTTTGTTTGATATTAGGACCAACTGGTCATCATCAACTGAATCAGGAATTATGTGCACACCAGCATTCAGAGAGAATCTTTGGGTTTTTTTTTTCTAGTTAAATTTAATTCACATTGAATTAAGTACAGTTTATACTCAAACATTTTCTGGTTACAGAGGTTGCACAAAATGAACAGAAACTTGCTGAAAGGTTAAGAAAACTGAGAGAAAAGAAAATGAATGAATTACACAAACAGCAGGCACAGGAAAAAGAAGAGTTCTTGAAGAAAGCTGGAAATTCACAAAAAGCAGTTCCATTCATAAATGTGAGTACCTTCCTATATATTATTTGCACATTGAAACATTTTAATGTAGTAACAATATTCATTTATCGAGGCAAATAAAATTTGAAGAAAACCAGAATTTAAGCAGGTTGACACAGTTTTAACACAGTAGGAAATGTGTCAAAAGTAGAAAATGTAGAAACTTCTTTGTTTAGAAAACCGAATAATTTATTTTTAATTTAGAATTATTGAATTATGCAAAAATAGATAATAGCATTTAACAACCATAGCAGATAATATATATGTATGTATGTATTTATATAATTTTCTATTGCAGGCTTATGCAGAAATGGTTGAGAAGCAGCATATGGATAGAGAAATGTTAGCAGAAGAGTTGGACAAACAGGAGGTAGAAGAGATGGAAACGGAAGAAGTGGTATGGTTACTATTAAACCCATTATTGGTTGTGAATACATATTTAGTGCCATTTAAGTGTTGTATATGCACAAAAATGTGTGCACACACATATGCACACACACTCAGTTGATATTTGAAAGTTTATTTTGGAATTAGATATAATCTGTTCATTTGTGTTATAAAATGATATCGTAATGTTATTCAACTCACAGAACACAGCATTGTTCTACTTGTACTTACCACAGCAGAATATACTTGTGTGCTTTTTTTTCAGAACTTACAGGAAAGGATAAATGAGAAATTAGAAAAGGAAAAAGAAAATTTCATGGAACGTTTAGAAACGAAAGCAGAATTGACAGAAGCAGATGTGAAGAAAGTTCTCAGACTTCACCAGCAGCAGATGGAACATGTGAACAGTAAGTTTCAGTTGTTATTATAATGAGATGCACTCACATAAGAAATAAAGTAAAAAATGAAAAAGTTTTTTACGTAGTATGTCATACAACAACTTGACAATGAAATAATGCAATGAAATAATGCTGTCTACAATAAGATGGCAGCTAGAATAGCAACATAAATAGGTAGCAATATGTATCATTAAAAACTATGTAAAAGTTCAGTTTACTTTTGAATTTATTGGATTTTTAAATAGCAAAGGTTTCATTTAACCATGTACATTTTTATCAACTGGTTGATACAGTCAGCACCAAAGCATCATAAACTGCCATTGTAAATACTACTGCAATATTCATGTTAATATTTTGTTACTAAATGTTACTAAATGTTACTAAATTTTTTCATATTTTATAAAAAGGAGAGAGAGCTGAAGAAAAGAATAAAGCAAATGCAAAACTCCAAGAAAAGCTGGCACAGAGAAAGCAGGTAAGTTTCAGTTTCTTAATAACATCAATAAAAACTATAGGTGCAAAATGCTTAAGAGACAATGCAAGATTATTTTTCTAAAGGAAAAATATCATTTTTCATCATATTTGATTTATCTCTTATAATCAATCAATATAATCAATCAGCACTATTGTCTTCAAAAATATAGACAAAGATCAATTATTAAACATGTCATTAATAGCTAAACACCTGAAAACCACTGTCACTGTGATTCAAATACCAAATTAGAAGTTCTTAATGAGACTCATTCTGTCATTTCTTTACTTTTTAAGAAAGCAGAGGAGAACCAGCAGAAAGCAGCAGCAGAGCAGCAGGCTCTGGAAGAGCACCAAGAAAAGATGATTAACCAAGTGTTGGAAACACAGATGGATCTCAGTGAAGAGTAAGAAAATTTGATTTCTATGCTGAAGAAAATGTGAAGTTGACCCGAGTGGCATATTTTTTTTTTTTATTCTGAGAGATTCATGATTAATTTCCCTGAAGTTTGTACTATTAGTAAGTCACTTCAGTGACAAATGAATGATTTTAACAAATGGCAAAAAAATATTGGGTTTGATAAAAGCATGATTATCTAATTAACCTTATTGTGCATAACTTTTTCAGGGAAAAGGACAGGATAATGAAAGAACACAAAAAGAATGTCCAGACACTTAGTAGTCAGCAGCAACTTAGTCGACTTAGACAGCAGAAGCAGTAAGTTTTAGTCATAAGATACATAAACAGCTGCAAATGAAATTTACTAATTGATCAATGGATTTTTCTAAAAGAAATATCAGGAATGCCATTAGTTTTGAAAATTTGTCATCAGTTTGATCTTAATTTGCATTTCAATACATATTAATCTGTATTCACATAGCTGTGATTCCCGTTGACAAGGCTTAACTGTAGGTATGATCTAATACACTTTGGATCTTCTTTCATAGATTGGAACAGAAAATGAGTCAAAGAAAGGCTAAGTTAGCAGAAATGAAGGAGAAAAAACAAAATATGCGTGCAGATGAGAAGCAGAAGATACAAGATGAGTTGGTATGTATAACAGTTGTATCTCCTTAACATTGTATAAATTTGGATAGAAAATGTATTTTTAATGTATACGTATATGTAGGTAGCACTGGTTTATTTGGCCAAATATCAGTTCACCTATATACTGTGTTTTGTCATTGATCTCACTAATGAAATTCTTACTACTCAGAATGGAGGTAAAAATAAATATTTTATGTTCATTATATAGGATAAACAAATAGCTGTAGAGGAACAGAGAATTAAAGAAGAAGAACAAAAAGCATTGGATGATTTAAAGAAACAGAGAGATCAGGAGTTAGAGGCTGCTTTGAAACTTCAAGCAGATCATCTTAGTAAAACTATAGGAAGACTACAGGTATTTTATTGGAATTGGTACTTATAGATTTGTTTATGGTGACTGGAAACCATAAGTAAATTATCTAATCTGATTGACAGTCAAATGATGCTTGTTTACACTGTTTCTTGATGAGGACTAATTATAAAATCACCTGTCATAGTTAATTCAGCACTGATTTACAGTAACAATGGGTCAGTTTCTATGTATAATAACTGGCCTTTTCAGTGCTCAAAAATCAGTTAATTGAATTATATTTTACACTTGTAGGTCGGACAGGCTAGAAGAAAAGCCATAATTGAAAAGCAGGATCAGACTATTCAAGAGCTGGAGGTAATGAAGTTTAGGCTGTATTTCCTTTCCCAAAATTTACTTGAACATTTAAAGACATTGTTGCTATAGGCCAAATATACAATGAGTTCAAGAGTTTACTTGCACAGACTATGTTGATTATGTCTTATTTTTTCCTTTCAAAAAGAAAATCTTAACAAACATTTTGATGAAAATATTTAAATGAACCTCCAAGAAAGTTTTCCATAATTTTTACAAAAAAGAAGAGAAACTCACTAACACTTATCAATCATGTTTTTACTTTTTTATGGTGAAATACATGTAACGTGACATGACGTAATATTTATATGTTATTAGGAACAACTTGCCAAGAAAATTGCCACAGGAGGAAAAGCTTCAGATGGGGTGGATACCATTCTCCAGTCTCACTATAAGAATGTCCAACAGCTACAAGAGCAAGTGTCTGCTGATAAGAAAAGAATGGAGCAGAAGCTTCGAGAAAGACTGGAGGCCAAAAGACTGAAGAGAGAGACGTAAGTGCTACTGCAAAATCAGACAAAATCTTTATACAATCAAACAGCAGTACTTTTGACAAAGAAGAGTAGTATGTTTATTGTAAGTGAATGTAGCACAAAAATGGCAATATGTGCAATACTAGTGGAATTTCATTAAAAAAATAAAGTCAGAAAAAAGGTTTGTGTGCTTTTTATTGTGCATCACTATTTGTTTATGTTGCCACACGGTAACAAAAATTAACTAGATTTTCTGTTTGGCAAACTGCCACACTCTTAATGAACCAAGGCAGCAAATGTATGAAAATGAATGACAAGCTATGGAAAGTCTCTTATCACAGATAGCAAATTGAATCTGTCATCTAGTACCAGTTTTTATATCATAAATCTCATGTTTAAAAACTGCAGATAACTTTTTTTCAATAAATTGAGTGCTTTTTATGACAGCAATGGGGGTGAGTAATATGCATTTATCTGTTCTTTTCTTTTTACAGGGAAGTAGAAGAAGAAGTAGACAAAGAGGTTCAGAAGGAGTTGACAGAGATTCAAAAGAGAGGAGCAGGGTAAGACGTGTCACATGTATTTATAATAAGTAGGATATGTACTCAATATGTCCAAATCAGTTTTTATTACAGATTTTTTGGCATTGATGTATCTTCTCCAACAAATACTCCCAAAGATATAATCAGTTCTCAACTTCAAACAAAAATCTGAATATATCATGTTTTGTACCTTTAAAATCCTTTGCCATGAAAACAACAAATGATATATGATTGTTTTGTTTTTATTTGCAGAAAAGCAACTGCAATATTAACACAGATGATGATAGATCAGAAACACAAACAAGCCAAGGCCAAACTTGAACAAGAACTCCAGCAAGACCTAGAGAAACAGCAGCAGCAAATTAATGAAGAATTGGAACAGGAACTTAAAAACCAACTAGAGGTAAAACAACACGTTTGGAGACATTGAATGTGTACCAACAGAATATCATAATACATCATCTTTAAACATTGTGCTGTTCATTACATAAGGACTTTAATATTTAGTACAACCAAATTAAACATTTAAAAGTAATACAGAAAACTGCAAGTGATGAAGTTGTAGGTTTTATCAGATATACTCTACTCTACTCTAGAGGGCCGATCTTTCATTTTCACTTATTTTTCCTTATTTGTTGTTATCCTGAACAACTGTACATTATACACAAATTTTATTTCACTCATAAAATAAGGTGGCATTCAGATAAAAGGAATGGCACATCCCATAAGTATTTTGGCTAAAACATTTTCTTTGCTTACAAACAACATATTTCACTGTTACAGGAGCAGAGAAAGCAGTTACTTCACCAGATAGCTGCAGCTAGTAATTTGTCTAGGGATGAGATCAATGATCTCGTGGAGATGGCCATGTCAGGTAAGGATAAACAACAAATAGCTATTATAACTGACTTAACTGAAATTAATATTTAGAAATAAAAACCTAATTGACCTCATAAATCAGCTTGGACATTCAGACAGCCATCATGCCACAAACCCAGCACTATATCAACATTTATTTAAATGCCTGGATGGTTAATTGGTGTGGTTTCAATTCTAACTCACAATTAAAATGTTTATTTGGTAGCTAATTGTATTCATATCTTTGCATACTTTTATCTAACATGTTTATTTCAAGAGGTTTGGACAGAAATTTATTTATGATGTATAAGTTATTTATTATTAAGTATGTATTAATATATTAATAAATATTTATTATTAACCTAAGTACTTGCTCTAAAAGACAGCTGCTGATATGAATGCCTTATCTTTCAGATGCTGGAGCAAGCGAAAAACAAAAGTCTGCTCTAGCTAAGGAACTGCGGTTAGGAGCAAAGAAAGCTAAAACTCAACTAGGCATAGAAGATGAAACCAGATAGGCAGGCAGACACATAGACTAAGACTCTGTTCACATGAAAAATCTATTTTCTAAAAATCTATTTTCTATTCGTGGTATCTTGTGATCACTCCGAGCGCAGCCGAAAATTAATTACAGCTTTGGAAGTAACTGGCTTGCACTGCCAGTAATTACGCCGCGGGGTATTCAGGGCACAGACTGTGATCACAAGATACCGGGAATAGAAAATAGATTTTTAGAAAATAGACTTGTCATGTGAATGGAGCCTCAAACCCCTCTGTTTAACAACTCCCCAATTATCTCCACTTAATGGCTTCCAAAGCTACCACAGTTGGAATGTATTATAAAGGCATGAAGGGATAGCATTGTTGTTACCACGAATCCATTACCATGATAATGGATTTTTGAAACTGTTTCTGTTGAGCAAAGTCTGTAGTACAGTATTACCATTTATCATTTATAGCAATTAGACCATTGTGCCACCTTGTGATACCTTGTTCATCGTAAACTATGATGTTAAATGTTCTCCGTCCTTTCTTTTTTTTGTTGTGGAGTGATTTACACATAGAGCAAAATAACTGTGATATACTTTATGTACATGTTATACTACATGTACATGTGAGGATATTTTAAAGTGCTTTTATACGAATACTCCAGAATCTTTTAAATCAAATTTGTGCGTTTTCAAAGAAAACACCATGAGACAATCTGACAATTAATTAAAAGTTTTATTGCTGAGAGACAGGATTACATTAGGTATTTGCATGTACAAATTTTGAAGAATATTTACATCATTGTAATAGTACAGGAAGCATGAAATATTTATAAAAACTTTTTTTTTAATTATTATCTCTGATAAGTCACAACCACTCCCATAAAAAAAACATTCCACTTTTTGTATGTTTTGATATATGGACTTTATTTGAAATAAAAAAAAAATTATGCTAATAATACAAAGGGCTGTTATTTTAATTCTCCAAATTGTTATAGTTACATTTGTGGAAAAAAAGAAGTACTCACTTGGCTCACAATTTGTACATGAAATTCATGAGAACAGTTTATGTGCATAGTAATACAATTCCTGTTCCTTTTTTTCTTGTTTTTAATTTTTTCCTCTGACACTATGTCTAACTTTTTTAATACCTGGAAATTTATAATATACACATTTACACCAACTTCTTAGCCTCAAAAAATCCTTTTAGATGTCTCATTTGCCAAAATCCAGTTACAAGCAATACCAAGGTTTGAGCAATTGACCACCAAAGAACTCTCTGATTTGTGCTTTCACTGGTCTGTCTGAAGCGTTCTTCACGATACTGAAAAAAATTATTTAAAAAATACAGTAATGTTTAAAATGTGCTGGCACTTACATATAAAATGTGATAAATATTTTGAAGTTTGTGTTGCAACAGTATTTTAACTGAGCTAAAGACTCTTGAGTATAATACCCAATCATCAAACACAATCGTCTTTGTAAAAAATCCACCTCTAACTTTGATTAAACAATACATTAAACAATAACAGCAGTGTCAACCAATAGTCAATTCTTAAAATCTAAGTAAAGTTAAAAGTTAGTTAAGTTAAACCAAGTATTCTGCCCTCCCTAACTGACTCCTGCTTACCCTTTGATAATTCTGCTCCTTTGTGATCTGTTCTACCTGGTCAAGCAACTGTCTTACACGGAGCTGAAGTTCAGTAAGTTTGTCCTTGGTAGCTATCTGAGGGTAGTCGTTAGCATGCTCTCCCACTTGAATGTCTAAATGAACTCTCTGAAATTTGAAAGGAGTATCCATCAGATTCCAAACTAGATCTTACTGCGTATATCCATCAAAATCCAAACCAGATCTTATTGTTTTCTCAATTCTTACTCAACACACTGAACTTGAAATTATTACATCATCAAGAGGCTTAAGAAAAATATTACAGTGAACTGCACTCACTCCTAAAGAATAATTTATATACATCAAAATCTTAATAAAAACTGCCAAAAGCATAAGTTTACAATTCAAATTCTTACCAGCTGGCCACCTCCAAACCAGGCAGATGAGTTAGAATGCAGACAAATAGTGTGTTCTCCTGCTGTGTGAGATGTGAAAGTGTAGCGGCCATCGGAAGCATATGTCTAAAATGACAGGGGAAATGTGTATTTAAAGATGGTTAACAAGTTATTTATATCAAAATTAACCAAAATCTTTAAGTAATTGTACAGTTAAACTTCATGCTTACTTTCAAAATGATAATTAGTTTAAAATATCCATCATTTAAAAATATTTTTAAAAATTTAAAAACAACAAAAACTGAATCTTACCCTGGACAGAATAACCTTTTCATCTGGGTCCTTCACCTCAACATGCATGCCTAAACCACCTCCAGTTGGAAGGAAGGCATTTTGACTTCTATCAAAGATTTCTACCTTGTAATTACCTGGGGAAAATGGATGTAACATATATATAAACAAAACATATGTGATATGCTTTCTTACATCAAATGTATAAAAATTCTATTAAACAAAAATTCCACTTCAAAGATACTTTCAACTAAAAAAAGTATTAATGAAGGACAGCAGCTGTGTTTCACACTAGCCATATGGCTGATCCTATTGGGCTGGTCCTAGTCAATTTGGCAAGTGCTTTAACAGAGAGGGGATATTTATACTATAGCAAATTCAAATATCCGTAAATCACCAGATGCAATTTCTACTTCATTTATGATAACAAAAAGTCTTGTTCATAACTTTTGAACATAATGCAAAAGCCTGTTTACTATTTTAATAAAAATTATGAAAAGATTACAACGTTTAGACTTTAAACTCACCTACAACCATAGTTTCATCTGGGATTTCTTCAATAAAACATTTCTTCTCCGTTTCTCCGATGTGGAAATAAAGTCCAACAACAAGTTGCAACATTAACAGTTGCAAAAAGAAACTATACAAATGTCTTATTGAAATCATCTTGTGGTATCGAACTTTCGTCTGCAAGACTGTACTGAGTATGTCGACGTTGCACTAAACTAGCCGGTTAGAGTTCTTGGACTTATCTATAATGGTTGTAAGCCCTTGTCTGAAACGCAAACTGTCTGTTTATGTTCCTTTATGGTGTTTTGATCCTAAGATTAAGAAAAGCTACTTAGCACCCGTCCCTAACACCACCAACAACTGTCTCTTCTCCTGCAGCAGAATGCCACGTAAATCCGTATCCAACATGGACGGCGACACGAAAGGGTCTCGAAGGGACGTTTGTTACTGTTAAGCAATTAAATTGCAAGCATTTAATCTGCAATTCGACCATTTTCTCTGTTATTCAATATTTATTAGTAATTTATGATATATTTTTTGCTTAGAGAAGTCACAGCTAAACTTTTGATTTCAAATTATATTATTTTTCTGCGTGAGTATTTATTATTCCCGTTCCCTTTCGAGTCTCCTTAGCAGCATGTCAAACGCATGGGGCACCGTTAAAACTTCCAAAAAAGAAAACTCAGCATAAGGACAGAATATATAGATTTCTGATATTCATCCAAAGTAAAAAGAATATTTTTAACTAATAAACTATAATAAGTCAGTTTGTTTTACAAATACCTGGCATTAAAGTGTAATAATAACAGCTCTTCGTAATTATGTCTTTCTGCGCGTGTTTAGAGCTGCCAGCTGGATAAACAGTGTGAGAAGAGTGAGCAGTGAGAGTGGGATGGGTGTTAACTTTTGAGCGAAGCATTCAGCAAAATGTCGCTCGAGGTTAACGTAATAAGTGCATCAAATGTGCCAAAAGAGACTTTTGGAAAGAGTGATCCATATGTCAATATAGAATTTCAAGGTAAGTTCTTTCTTGTTGCAAAGTTAATGAAAGTTAGGAAAGAATGTACTCTCGTACTTTGGAAAGTTCGCCGGTGGCGGTGGCAGGTCTCCTGAAGTTGTGTTAAATGAAAAGTTAATGCTGTGCAACGGGTGACGCTTTCCCTCACTTATTATTTGACTAGACTAAAACTTAAAATTTGGGTTGAATGTGGTTTTCCTTATTCCAAATACTATTAAAATATTTGTTAGACACATCACACGTACGGATTTGGAAGTTTGTTGACGAGGGGTGGGGCGGTAGAAGGATGAGGGAGTGATACAATGTTAAATGAGATAAAATGACACTATTCCTCTTGTTCAGCATGTTAACATATTAATTTCCTATATTTTTTGTTTTAATTGCATGTGGATGGGGCACGCACCCATTTGCCCCCCTCCCCCTCCCCCAGTCCGACCCCATTCCACCCACAACTACTTTTTCTATACCAGTACTGTATACCATATATCAGGTATTGATGGTAGTTATATTACCTGGCATGTGTATCCAATTCATGGTAGGCAAGTTTATTTAGATTCATTCTTACAGAAAGGGTGTGGGATATAAGGAATATTCCCCATGAATTTTCAAACAGGATATCTAAAAATTAAGGTCAGGACTTGTTTATTTTCTTAAGACTATCACTAATATATTATACATGATACACTGTATCTGTCTCCTTTGCTGTACTTAAATTCTTTTTATAATTTTTTTATATTATTTATATTTTTTTAAGTACTTTTTTTAATTAACTTTGTTTTTGGAATGTCAACCTTATGTGTCAGCATGAGTTGACTGTAAAATGTTAACATCCTTTTTGCTTCCTAATTCTAAGGGCATTTAACAAAAAAATACTTCGGCTCATGTTTTTTCAACACACATATTATTGCTGTAAGTTCTATAAAGCAAACAATCTGAGGAGTCTGTTGAGCAGGGCCATGTGTCTTATCAGTAGTTGCCAAGGCAGAATTGTATTCTTTTATTTCTATAAACAACCTATTCAAGTGATAAAGTAAAATCTTTTACTGGATAACTATTGATTTACGTGTGAAATTAAGTATGTCAGCAGGGATACAAGTAGTATCCTAATAGTTCTTTTTAAAATGTAAACTTTTTGAAGATCTTAAATGATAAAAGTTTTGGTGATATTCATCATTTATAGTGTTTTATATTTAATGTGTCAGTATATGTGTTAGTAGTTTTGTTGCTTAATCTATTGAGAGGATTGTCATTTCCTGATAATGTATCAGCTGGTTAAACATTGTCAAGTCTTTTCTATGTAAAGCCACATTTTGCATTAAGTTAACCACAACTAGAGAAGCGAAAGAAGAGGAAAGTTCTAACTAGTCTAGAAAGTTCAATAATTTAATTTTCAACAAGTCTTCAAAGTTTTCAATCCAAAGGGTTTATAGCATAATTTGCCTGCTGTTATCATATATTATACACTTATTGACACTGAATATAGTTTCCAATGATTTTATTGAATGATAATTAAGTGTATAAAGATTGAATTGTCTCCTATATTACATGATATTGGACCTCAGAAAACGTAAGCAGACAGTGAGAGTGAAATCTTAATAGATTTGGTCATATGAAGAACACTCATTTTTTCCCTCATGATCTCATTATAAAATTGTTTGTTGTAAACTAGTACATTTCCTGTCATGTTGACACAAACTTGTTTGCCAGTTGTCTTCTTTTGTGTTTTTATTTTATTATGAGATGTTATGCTGGTAATTTTATGCTCCACCTATTATTGTACATAGGTAGGGTATTCTGGTGATAACCTGATAGGAAGTGACCGGAATTTCTGGCTTATCAGTTCACATTTTGTTGTCTCCATTCAGAGGGACATTCCCTCATGGTGACATGGATTGTGTTATCTTTAGCATGTGGGTGTCAGGCCTGTATGTTTGGTTATTTTTAACCTGTAAGCAACCATTTACTTTGCCTTTAGTTAGCATATATATAGAATATTGTTAAATTATTAGAGAAACAAATGATAGGATTTTGGCCTAAGTTTTATCTTGACATCATTGACATACAGGGCTTATCCCATGATTGGGGGGTACAGGTCATCCAAAATTACCGCTTGTAATTTCCTACAAAATTTCGGGGAGTCCCAAGTATGCCCAAAGCCATCGTATTTCCAAAAAATCCATTAGCCATCCAATCGTCTTAAAAAATTTAGGCCAACCACTGGCAACCAGTGATGCTGGCAGTTGTCCAAATGACGGCTGGATGGTTCGCTGGGAAAACCCTTTTTGACATGTTTATAATATCTATTAATTGTCACTTTAGCAAGTTTCAATAAAGCCAAGAAAAATATGAATTAGGTACATAATTTTGAGAAGACTTCTTCATTTGATGAATTTTCACTGATATCAGTTACATTATAGTATTAACTGCCATAGAATATCATGTATTTTAATTGCATAAAGGATATGAATGTTTCTTTTTGTGTTTCTTTTTGTGTTATTCAGCCAGAAAGGTGAAATTTGTTTGTTTGTTTGTTTGTTTGTTTGTTTGATTCAATTGTGTTTTAGATGCCCAGTTAATGCCACCTCTATCAAAACCTCTAAACATTCAGTTTTTATTGTTTTATTTGAAATTCAACTGATTTATATTCTTAATTCCTTAATAGGTATCAAAAAGAAAACTGAAGTGATCAAAGATGAAGATAACCCTGTATGGAACCAAGTGAGTATTATATATATTAATTTTTCTGTTCAATATTTTTTTTTAAGTTGGGCCATTAATAAGGATGACAAATACTGGCAGTTTGGAATGATAATGAAAAATTTGCTAGTTCATATCCTTTTTCAAAATGGCCCAGATGGAAATGATAGTCAAATTATATTTGGCTTGCACTTAAATGGCCTTAAATATGAACTTTGGAGAACAATAATGTTATGAATATTTATATGTTATGTAGGCACATTGATTTATTTGTTTTGGACATTTTGGACCATGTGACAGTTTGGTATCTGTTAATTTATGTTTGTTTAAACTAACAGCACATAATAGAATGAGACAGAATTTACATTGAAAGTATAAAATTATAATGCTTTTTACATATATATTGGCATGGTTACATTATAACTGATCGATAATTGTGACCAGACAGCTGTGCATGCAGATGCCGGATATTAAATAATAACAGCTCATTTCACATATTATTAGTCATGAATGAATGAACATATTAAGCTTATGGCATAAAGAGGAAATTGATATACTATAAAACATATCCGGGTAACATGTCAGGTCAATTGTCTCTGCTCACATACTTGTATACGAGATAAACTGAACTTTTTTTCAGCTAACTGTTATAGTGCAATTCAAGTGTGCACATCCTCTTTCCATTCTTGTTCAATATCTTTAAATCCAATTTCAATTTTTTTTTTTTTCGTTTTTTGGAAATAAAAGCTTTTAGTGTTAGGTTTCTCATAGACAGATAATAAATGCCAACGGTTCAACTAACTATTCAAAAGGTAAATGATTCTCAATATGCGTGCATAAATTATTTAACATGTTATTAATAGATTAAAAAAAAAGAGGCAAATAAAAAAGAGGGGGTGCCCAGTGATGCTTTCTATAAACTTGAATTGGGTTTTATATTAAAATTAACTCCATTCTGTGTGTTGGGGTGGGGGAGGGAATTAACTAGTGAAGCTTTTAAAACAAATTTGATTTAACATTAAAATTATCTCCATTCTTTGGGGGGGGGGGGGAGATAACCAGTGAAGCTTTTAAGACTTGAATTTGATTTTACATAAAAATGAACTCCATATTCTATTCTCCATTGTAGAGCCTGGTGTTTGACCTCCAAGGCAATGCCCTATCACCAGGAGACCAGCTGGAGGTGCAGGTCAAAGACTGGGAGAAGATTGGAAGAAACAGGTATGTTATAGTGTGTGTGTGTGTGTGTGAGTGTGTGTGTGCGTGCATGTGTGTGTGATTAGTTATGCTCACATTGGTAATTTCTAGAGTGCTGGTAAATAGCACAGTCTTGACAGGGTATTTTTGTGTAGGCATGTTTTTGTTGGTATTCATGTGTATATTGTAAGCAAGTGTGAAATAACATTAAAAAAATTAAACAAAGAAATGAGCACCAGATGCAGTCTTATAAATCAGGTCTGTGGTATACACTCTGACTCAGGTGGTTGTGCAGGTGTGTGTCTCCTATGTTCCAAGTCTCTTCAGCTAGATTTTTTTAAAGATGTATTATTAGTTGACTCAATAAATTTACCAAAGACATGACCAGACAGAGGAGTTTTTATCTTCTACTAGTATAGGCCTTATAAACGGATAAGGCGTTTACTAGCACTACCCGAAGATCTTTACGCACTAACACCCATATTAACTACATAACCCACAAATTAACCAGCACTACCAGTTGATGAATGTTAGTGCTAGGTATTGCTTTGTTGGTGCTAAATAACTGTAGGGTGTGTTGGTTCCATGTATAAGGCCTGCAGTACACTACAGAGGAGTATATGCTTTAATTATTGTTAGATCTTAGGAGTAAGATGCTTGTTAATTTTGTTTCAGGCTCCTAGGTGCAGTAACTGTACCCTTGAAAGATGTTCAGACGGGCAGTCACGCAGTTGAGCTTGACCTACCTTTGCAAGATGCTAACAAGAGAACCTTGGCAGTAAGTGCCCAGTTCTATATGATAGTCATGCTATTTTTCTCCATCTAATAACACACTGCATGTTTAGACTGGATGGTACTTATGGCATAACCCACTATTGTCCAGACTGGAGAAAAATGTTTGGAATCTAAATATGTGTCTGGGCATTACTATATTGATATATGTGCCACTGTCATCTGTTATGTGATGGTAAAATTATAGTTCTGTGCTTGCAGGCCTTTTGAATCTGGAAGTGTATTTCTCTGCTTAATGAGTAACATGTACTGGTATTTAAAATTTGTCCATTTAATTGAGAAGATATGATGTCAGGAAATGTAGAAATAATTGGGGAACCTTGAAATTGGCTTTGGCACAAATGTCAGACACATAAGGTGTTTGTTTGTTGGTAGCTATTAATCTGAGTTCTGAATGGCATTGATTAATACTTTTTGTAAATTGTTTGTACCTTTTACATTGTTTATATTTTATTTTTACCACTTACTGGTTATAGTTATGAGTAGTACACCTTTCAAATGGATGGCAAAAGATCACACAAAATAAACACAAATTAACTTAGGTCAGATTGTTTACTGAAGTGGAATATAGCATCTTCCTAAAATAGATGACTTTTTTATCTTCAGCATTTTTTTATGCCAGTGTAGACAAAATCTATATACAAAAGGCATTACAATAAGTTAATGGAGAATTTTACTTATCCCTTGATAGATATATGCTTTACCTTGGCCCAAGTTAGAATTAAACTGCAAATGTAGTAGTATAACAAAAAATTAAATATTATATTGTTATAATTTTTGCTCATAAGGACCATCATATTAATCACCTTATTGTTTTTGTTATAGTGTGACTTAAATTTAAGTACAAGTATTAAAGTACTTAATTTTGAGGTATTTGTCCTATTGTATGCTGGTTTTGCATTGACGCTTCAGTTATTTTGCAAGTTAGCCACCAACATTGATTGAAATAAAATATTACTTCATGGCATCAATGATTTATAGTGGGCAATATATTTAACAACACAAAATGTTGTGGTACTTAGTGATGTTTTTACAAAAATGGTTTTGTCTTTGAAAACAAGATATGTCAAACTAGTTACAGTATAGTGATATGCATTTGACTATTTGGTAATCTAATCTAGATGATAATATTCCAATCTATAAAATCCTGATATACATTTAGCATGATGCTCAAACCAGTATACAGTCATTTCAAATGGAGATTTTTATTCTAAAAAAAGTGGAACTTTTTAACCCCCTTAGTTGACCCAACTTGAAAAATGGAGTTGAAGCTTGATCAAGTTTTGTTTTAGAACAGGCCCTTTTCAAGATAAATTCAAGTGCACTTCTTTCTAACCTCTCCCCACCCCCCCAGACCCTTCCTACAGGGATGATGTACATTGTATTACATGATCAGACTATAATAGTAATAATAATGGCTGCTAGTGTAACTTTCCTATGAAATAACCCTATTCATAACCTAGTGTCTCCTAAGTTTCTGATATAAATATATATATATGCATTAATGTATTTTCTGCATGCAGACAGTTTATCATTCCATCCATGACATGCCTGTCCATATGTTTTTTATTGGACTCTCTCTCCCTATTGTCTGGGCTATAAAATTCATGATTGGAACATCGATAGCATGCTTATTTACAAAATACATTAACTCCAGTTTTTATTATGTTTTTTCTTTTGAGTATGGTCTTATTTCTAGGATGATCTTTAGAAGCAGTTGGGATGTACAGCAGCCAAGTGTCTCCTATTTTTGAAAGCATTAACAATAAAAAACACCAAAACTACCCTGTTCTAGCTACATATTGCAATGTTATTAATTGCCATTTTTATGTGATATTAATGCTCAATTAAACCATTGGTAAAAAGAGAGGAAATTAACAATGAAGCTTATAAAAATGGAGAGCTGCATTATAGTGTGTGTGACTGTTGCAATGTAAAATTGTAGTACAATACAATCAAGAACAGATGTGGGATTTTTTTTGCCCTTGGAGATAGTTGGAATAGTTTCAGAATTAAAAGAACATTCTGGATTCCAGAGCATGGGAAGATTTACCCTTACTGTACTTGACAGAACAATATTTTTGAATCTTTCATTATCAGTTATTCTGCAGTGTTGTAGAGTTCTGGCTGATACATATTCAATTTGTATTGTATGAACAGCATAGTTTCGCTTTCAAACAGAATTTTTTTACCTCTTAAACAAAAGTTCATTGTATTGTTTGTTTGGGTGTTTAAGTTAATTTGGATGTGAAATAGTAAATTTCATCAGTTTTGCAATAATTTGGATAAAATGCGAAATGGAGAAATTCATAATTCTGCATGAGACACCATTGCTATTTTGATTGGTTTCTTTCTAACAACTATATATTTTGCAATGTGCCTGCTGTGAGCAATATAATGAGACCTATATTTAGGAGTAGTTCATCTCAGACTTTTGTTTAACTTTTTTTCTAAATGTCTTTTCATGTCTCAGACACAATATTGTCTGACGCAATTCTTCCTGGTTAAATCACTGATGGATGTTTTTGTCAAAATAAGTTGAAATTAAATAGGTATTTACTTAAAACATCTCAAACAATTAAACCAAATCTACAATTCCTAAGACATGGTGACAAAATGTCTGCAACCATTATAATTTCTTCAGCCCTTATGGTTTGTGACATTTTCAAACACTTAACAAGCTGATTAAAGGGCTTGGGATTTTTTTTCGCTGATAAATATGCAGCTATTATCATTATTCGAAAACAAACTGATCGCAATTTTTAAAACTGTGTACATTTTACTTGTTGCAGTAATTAAAAATCATCCATTACTTACTTAATTAGTTCCCTATGTTGTACTTTCCTATTTCAGTCTTTAATGAAGAGCTCATATACTAACCTTTAAAATTCTAGACACATGTTATTAATAATAAAAAAACATAAAACACCATATCTGTGTTTTATGGGTGTAAGAACTAGATCTTTAAACTGTCAAGACCAGAAGCTTTTTGTGACATAGACGGAGATGTCTTCATTCTTAACAGCATTATTCATTCAACACATTATGAATTTTAGAACTTTGCCAAATTAAATGTGTTAATATAATGACCACATATTTTGGTTGGTCTAACCCACACTCAAGTTGGCATATCACTTTATACATCTGTCATTCTAAAACAGTTGCCATAGGTATTTGACCACATAACTGAAGTGGTCAGTTTAGGCACATTAACATTAAGCAAATTTTTTTATCTACAGGTATGTGCATGCTGTTGATCATTAAATGGTCACCAGTGGCACTGCTGATCCTATTTTTTAATAAGGCTGAACCCATGCATGAGAAAAGACAAAACAACTTGTTTATTTTCTGTCTAGATTTAAACTTGTGTGAACCTGGTTTGCATCTTGGTCTGCTTTCTAAGATGTAATGGAAACTTGACTGCTAGCCCCTGGTCAAGTTTATATGGCTCCTGTGACTTATTTACTGCTAGATATACTCTGACACTGTTATCTGGGAAGATCTGTGACTTCATATATGTCTTTTATATTTGTAGAGAAGTGATATTATTATATACTAAAAAGAGTTGTTTGGCACAATTTTATTGATTTTATTAATTTATTTATTTATTTAGTTTCCAGTAAATTGTTTATTTTGGGTGAATTTCTTACATAATAACCAGCCCATTAAGTTGTCAAACTCTCATCCTATTAAATGCCCAGCTTGAGGTGAAAAGGGCCAAAAAAACTTGAAGGCTATTCTAAACAACCTTTTTTAATTTCACTGGAATAATTGTTTATAAGAGCACTCATACTGTATTGCACGCAGTAAGAGTTAATCAACTACCACCACTACTACTAGACATCCCATGTATTTTGTTTCAGGCCTCCATTAAGCTGAAAATTGTCTACAGTCCACCTATACAAAAACAAACTGCTGCAACAGCAGATGCTGCTCCAGGTATGTGCTACAAATAAAGCATTATTTGTTTTGATTTATAGTCCATGTTAACAATAACATTTATTGTTTTGAATTTTTGGTCCATCATAACATAAGGCAACTGCAAGCTAGGTTACGGTGTTGAAAATAGAAAAAAATCTGATGCTAGTCAGGTAAAACTATAAAAACTGATTGTCTGCTGTCATGCAGCAAATATATGTAACCAGTGTGTAATGTCTGTGAATTGTAACTAAGATGAGACTGCAGTTTTATTATGTATTTTTTTTACTCTATTGGCTGTCTACTAACCTCAAAACAATATAGGCTTTTACTTACTTTGACCCACAATATAATTTTGTTTTTCTCTTTCCAGTTATGTTTTGCAAATTATTTGAATATTGTCTTTATTTAACTGTAAAATGTATAAAACTTACATTTTCAGATGAAGTTGGTGGAGGTATAGTTGAGGATGGAGAAGAGGATGAGGATATGGAAGGAGATGAAGGTGATGCTGCTGATGGTGGTGATGCTGCTGCTGATGGAGGCGGGGTACCTGGTGCCCCTGGTGGGGGGAAGAAAAGGAAAAGAAAAAGGAAGAGGTATAGAGGGAAGTTATCCAACAAACCTCAAGATTTCCAGGTAACTGCTCGTGAATAATTTAATGTTTATAACAAGTTAAAGAGTTTATGATCTTATACAGGTGGACAGATAATAAGGTGAAGAATATAAGATCTGATGTCAGTTTATCTATCTGGGTGATTATAAACATTTAAAATGTGTGATTTGTACTTCTTTTGATCATAACACTGAAAGTTAGCTGAATGTTAGCTTTCAGCTACTTCTGTGGCCCATCTTAAAATGATGACTACCACTGGTAACTGCATGATGCACCTGTGACAATTACCTTTTTCAGTGATATAATCCAGAGAAAAAAATAATAATAAAATCAATTTAATTTCTAATAATTTTAAATGCAATTTTTTAGTGGACCATGCAAATTGATATTGACACAGAATGAATGGGAATGGAGGTTTGGAAGATTATAGTTACTGTATTGAAATGTTTCACTGTTTGGTATACATGGGAGGTCCTATCTCATCAGTTATCATCAGCAGTGACTCCTACCCTTCCTGTTATCAGGACCACATTGTTGAATCACAGCCTGTGAATTCAACTCTTGATTTCTATTTCATATATTGATATGATGTTACCAGTTTTCATTTCAGAATAGATCCTGCCTGATTCATTGTGCTCATTATACTTATATTAATAGAAGTAATGCTTATTTATTTCTTTAAAACAAACCACACTACACATGCATCTTAGTGCCACTTACTAAAAACCATTCAGATATTAAGAGCATAAAATTAGAACTGAAGATGCAAATAAATAATATCATAAACCTACAACTTTACATCTGACTGGTAAAGATAATTGGAAATGTTTTCTGAGTTAGCACAAGTTTTTTCTTCAAACTTTATGCTTCTTTCAAACCTACAGCAACCACAGTCTTTTCATGGTAATCTCTTAAAGTCCATCTCAGATACTTTTTTAGTTACATGTACTATTCAAAACAGTTTCCATTTCCAAAGTCACACTAAAATTTAAGTGTCAATTTCTCAGGTTTGATTAGCAATGCCATACATCTCTTTTAAATCTCCATCCTGAGAAGTACAAAATTCAATAAAGATATCAGTGATAAACACAATATATATTTTATATATATTTTTCCCAAACTCAGAGATCTTATAGTTATACTTAAACCAGGCAATCAAAATGGTAATCTGAATGATTGATAAGAATCCCCAACTATGGTGTAACTAAGAATTTATGATGATCAGTGAGGTATGAAACTCTTCTTTCCTTTTTTATGTCACCTTAGGTGAGAATCAGAGTGACAGAGGCCAGACAGTTACAAGGCTCTAATATTCACCCTGTGGCTCAAGTCAGTGTGTACAACCAGCTGAAGCAGACCCATGTGAAGAAGTCCACTAACTCCCCCTACTGGAATGAGGTCTTCTTTTGCAACTTTCATGCCTCACCTGCAGAGCTGTTTGATGAGCTGGTTGAATTCAAGGTGAATTCTTTTAAAAGTTTTATTTTTCCACCAAGAATACATATAAAAGCTTAAGACAATAAGGGGAGTTATGAGTTGTACTTTCAAGGGCATGATTGAAAATTTTTGAGTTGATGTTAAGTTATATTGATTTTTTCTTTCAGGTATTTAATTCAAGAAAGCTGAGATCAGATGCCTTGCTTGGGTCTTTCAAGGTAGGTTGCACAAAAATAAAGGTGTCATAATCATTGCATCATCACTGAATTAATTAATAAAATTGTTGCTTTGATGTTTTACTAATAGCACAGATATCAATGGCTTTGACCATTTAAGTTTTACTATGAAATTAATGTAAGATTTGTTAAAAATAAATAAATTTCTCAAAATCCTCAAGCCTTATATTTTGTGGCAAAGTGAGTTTTTCACTTCATACCCTCTTGTGTAATGATGATAGTCTCTTAACAAACAACTAACTTCATTATCATCACTTATTCTGTATTGTAGTTTGATATTGGTATGGTGTACGAGTCTCCAAAACATGCCATGTTGAACAAATGGCTATTGTTGACAGACCCAGAGGATCCTATGGGAGGATCTAAAGGTTACCTCAAGATGTCCATCGTGGTCCTAGGCCCAGGGGACTCTGCTCCTGTAAGTTGACAAGTTGTGTCTGCATGCGTGCACATGCATGCCTGTTGAGTGTGTGTGTGTGTGTGTGTGCGTGTGTACATGCATGAATCAAATTGATTAAAAGTGATCTTCACTCATTGTTTGGATACCAAATGAATAGTTTCTAGACTTTCAAGCTTTAAAATCTTTATTTTGTAAAATTAAAGATGGCCAAGCTGCGTGGAAAATGAAGAATGAAATGTTTATTTATTTGATATTTTTATTCAAGGATTTCAAGACCTCTGGAAAGGATGAAGAGGAAGACATTGAAGCGTAAGTAACCATGTTATCTTATCCTGTTTCTTGTTGTATGTAATTGTCTGATATGATTGCAATTTTCTGCTTTTTTTTTACCCCTGCCTTTTTTCAGACAAGGATTCCACTTTCAGATATATTTGAATGTTTCATGTCCATGTCATAATCATTTGGAAGTCTTGGCACATATTGTACCAGTTGGCAAATTGCGCTTTAATTTTCATGTTATTATTATTATTTATTTTAGAAACTTGTTGCGACCTGCAGGAGTGAAGCTGCGGCCAGGAACCTTCACATTGAGACTGTACAGAGGAGAAGATATACCCAGGAGTGAGTAGGCCTTTCTATCATGGAAGCTTTTCTATTTGTACTCCCTGATTATTTTTTGGCTGTCAGAGACTGTCCAAACACCCCATATAATTTTGAACAAATAAGTTGCAGTTAGAGCTTTATATTTTTTTAGTTGTTTGCAAACGGCTTATAAAGTAAGCATTATTATAATAATTTTATTTTAATTTTTTTCTTTTCTTACAGTGGATTCAGATCTGATGCAAGGAGTGAAGAAATTACTCAGAATTGGAGAAGAACAAAAAGAACTTGTTGACCCTTATGTCATCTTTTCTTTTGCTGGAAAAGAGGCAAGATTTTTATCACTGAAATTATATTCGGAAATCATGTGTTTAAAAGCATTTCAATTTATATGAAATAGTCCAATCATTTCAAACATTGTGATAAGGTAGAAATATTAACTCTGTTGGGAAGTGATGTAAATTATTTGATTCAGAAATGGAATTTAAATATATATTCTATATTTTAGGTATCCTCCAAGACCTTGTACAACAATGCTAATCCAGAGTATAACCAAGAGCTAAGACTTGGACTGATGGTATGTTTTTTAAAATACTTGGACCCTTGTTACTAAAGTAATTGACTGTGATGCAGTCTAACATATATAAAGTGATATCAAATGAGTTAATACATGGGTTGTTCATCATCATGTTTGCTTATGGACGGTAAAGTAATTTATAGTCTAACACATAAACAATTGCCAGTTTAAATCATTTTTATTTTATATTGGAATATTAAATTATTTCTTTTTGGGACTGTGTACATTTTATTTATTAATTTACTTATTTATATAATTTTATTTGTTTTTGAAATGGACAAGTTCTCATTATCCCCCTTGGTATCTGTTTAGTTTTATGTCTGTATTTACATGAACACAATTGACTTCATAAAAACAGATTGTGTATCAGCTGGAGTAAAGTATTTGGCGATGTTATCCATTGTCTATACGATAGGTACTTTGAATACATATCATTTTCACTCGTGGAGTATATAGTGTGGCCTAGGCCTATTGTGTTAGCTGTGACATGGCCATTTTGTACCATAGTCCTATGTGAGTCTACGTGTATCATCAAAAAGGTTGAAATGTGCACAATCAGTCGGTTGCTATTTTAATAATTAAAATTATTAAGTTTTACTGCATTCTCACTGCCTATTCATACCTTATCTCTGCTTGTTACAAGTCTACATTTTGACTCGATCCTTCTAGAAAAGGTGTGTTTGGGTCAAGCCCCCGATTCGTGTTTGCCACTTCGCAGATCACGTGACCCTCATTACTGCTTTGTCGTCTTGCTTTGTGTAAGATGGAATAACATGTTCAGACCTTTGGAGGGCTGGAATAATCTTCTCACTTCTTTATGAGCAAATACTTTCCTTAACAAACTACATCAGTTCTCAGTGCCAAAATTTCAGTCTACCATTAATTTATTAACTTATTTATGTAATTTTATTTGTTTTTGAAATGGGCAGGTCCTCATTATTCCCCTTGGTGTCTATTTAGTTTTATGTTTTTTTTTTTTGTTTTTTTTTTTTTTTACAGTTCCCATCCATGTGTGAGAGAGTTAAACTACAGGTGATGGATTGGTAAGTAGAGAATGAACACAATTGACTTCATAAAGACAGATTGTATATTAATGGTTTCAGTTTCATTGACACTAATGTGTTTTGGTAAATCCTTGATGGCCGTAGTTTTCCATATTTACACATACCCATATGATGCATTGTAATTAGACTGAATCAAAATAGAATTATCCTGGTAGAGAAAATTGAGTGCTGAATTGTCAGAAGTCTTTATTGAAATCAAGGTGTTTGCACAGCTGTATTTAAAGCAGTTGATTTTTTGGCTTTATTCAAAGCAAGTTATTTGTGAAATAGTGCAGGGTAGACACCACTTGATAATAATAAAGACTTGGTGTAATTCAGGTCAGTTTTATTTACTATGTAAAATACTGTGTGAAGGCAGACATTTTCCTCATTAAATCTTGTAATTTATACACACAGCGTAACACCAGTTTTGTGTAGCAAGAAAAAGGTAGTATACATAACATGAGATTTACATTGTAACTGATCCAAATAATACCCAACATAATGTATTGTTGTTTATTCATGTATTACTGACTAGATTATATATTTTGCACACCAGTTTTGTGTTTCATTTTCGATATGTGTTTTATGATTTGAAATATATATCTTCAGTCTTGGTTTAGTTGTTTTTATTGTTGTCTGTTCCAAAAATTTAGAAACTCTTTTGTTGTTTCATTGTGAACATGTTAATTCACTTCAGTATGTGTTCAACCATTGTTATCCCACTTTTAATGAGAGAACAAGTTATAATTATAGGAATCTCTACTGTGAAATTGGACTTTTTGTTAACATTGACTCACATGTTTGCTTAATTAATATGATTCACATAAAATGATATAATACATTTTAATATTATTAATGATATATAGAATATGCAGGGTTTGGTTATGTCATCATTTATGATGAATTAATACAATTATAATGCTTTTGTTAAAACTGGTAATATTTTTGATAAAACTAGTAATATATTTAAACTGGAATAGTGACATCAACCTCTGATGCAATAAAAAATGCTTCTGATCTAACACTTTATTGTAAGGATTAATTACATTCAGTTCATGCACTTTTGGCTATGTTTTATGGTTAATTTGCTTTTTTTGTACTTATTGATGTACCCCTGCAGCTTGTAGAATGTTGAGATATTATTCTCCATAGACTTATTGCTGCCCAGTTCAATATTTAACCCTTTAATATTCTTTGACAAGTAGCCATGTCCAAATTTAAGATCTTCACTGTAGGGCTAGTGTCCCTATGAGTTGAATTTTAATAAAATTAAATGAGCCAGTATTATACATAATAGTAAAAGCAAAAAATAAAATACACTATTAATGATTATAATTAATGATAGTTTATTAGTGTGAAATGTTTTCTAATTATTTTTAATTAATGCTTTTTTTATAGAGATTTGGTATTTGTATTTAATTGCACAAGTTGATTTCTTTTCATTAGGGATAGAGTGTCAGAAGATGATGCCATAGGGGCCTTTTTTCTTCCCTTATCACTCATTTCTTCCCCTGGAGAAAGTGGTAAGTAACCCTGATTTTAGCACATTATTATTATTGATATTAGATTAGCATTTGATTAAAAGCAGAAGACTTTCAACATTTGACATAATTTGATGCTCTTTCTTGCGTTGAAAGTTAAAAGTTGAGCTACTTGTATTGAATTTTTGTTCTATTTTGCATTGTGCAGAAGACAAGGCGTTTGAGGGTAATTTTTCCTTGGGTGCTAGATGTGCTTTAATTTGTCAGCATTGTTACTTTGTCTCATGTCTGGTGAATTAGTTGTTTTCTTCTGCGTCCTTTCTATACATTCGTGGTAGAAACTGCAATCTGAGACCCAGTTGAAACTTGGATTGCATTTCCTAGAATAAGAATTGCCACCAGAGAAGTGCTGATTTCTAACAGCAGGGACTTGAGTATTGGAGTATATATATGTGTGTATTATTAGTACATACCAGAGATATGCACTTGGAAAATGTATAGTACTACTTATCTGTAGCTGGGGCTGTTTTAGCATATATCTGTTGAGTATTTGTAAAATAGATATTGATGTACATAGTATTTCTCATTCTCTTAGCCAGAACACTTTATTATATATATATATATATATATATATATATATATATATATATATGGATATTTAGTGATTATATGATTAGTAGTATAGCATAGCTTTAGTACAATCAATTTTCTCACTTCTTCATGTTTGCTTGGGTTTTAAAAGTAAATTCTTACAAAAACAACATATTTCAGCCATGTTTTTTTCCTTATTCTACAAATATTGAGTGATTGTTGGTGTGGTTGAATTTAAAATTGTTCTTTCTGGTGTCAAATAATATGTCCTGTCTGGTTGGGTTAGAGGTGGGTGCCAGCTACATAGGTTAGTTTTAATTACAAACCTTCCCTTTTCCAACTCAAATCTTTGAAATAAGAAACTGAAAAGAAAGGAATCTCCGCTCATCAAAAAAGTTGATGTTCCATTATTGTTTTGCTCTCTATTTTGGATTGAATTTATTTATTTTGTCTGATATTGCCAGAAACTTCAGAGGAACCCAGTGTTGGTGAGTTTTTTTCCCCCATGACACATTCGTGCTCTTGATAAAGGCCAGGTTCAGCTGGACTTGGCAAGCATCATCCCCATTATCTTGAAGTTGTAAAAATGTACATCAGCTAGTGAAATACCTAGACCTTAATTCCTACATAAGACGATCATAAAGAATTTTACCTTATAACTTTGGAATGGTTTTATAAAAGTAAGTCATTTTTTAAGAAATTTCATTGTAGCAAATTGATTATATATCAGCTAGTGAAATACCTAGACCTTAATTCCTACATAAGACGATAATAAAGAAATTTACCTTATAACTTTGGAATGGTTTTATAAAAGTAAATCATTTCTAAAGAAATTTAATTGTAGCAAATTGATTATATATCAGCCAGTGAAATACCTAGACCTTAATTCCTACATAAGATGACTATAAAGAAATTTACCTTATAACTTTGGAATGGTTTTATAAAAGTAAATCATTTCCAAAGAAATTTAATTGTAGCAAATTGATTATATATCAGCTAGTGAAATACCTAGACCTTAATTCCTACATAAGATGACTATAAAGAAATTTACCTTATAACTTTGGAATGGTTTTATAAAAGTAAATCATTTCTAAAGAAATTTAATTGTAGCAAATTGATTATATATCAGCTAGTGAAATACCTAGACCTTAATTCCTACATAAGATGACTATAAAGAAATTTACCTTATAACTTTGGAATGGTTTTATAAAAGTAAATCATTTCTAAAGAAATTTAATTGTAGAAAATTGATTTTGTATGGATTTAATACATTAGGAAAATAATATATGTACGCATCTCTGTCATATGTTGTCCTCTTACCATTGCCCTTGCTTTGTTAGTGTGTATGGATCACCAAGAGAGTTTTTTCTTAAAAGATTATGGCATATAGATGTTTTGAAAATCTGAGAAACCCTAGTCCTTCCTAACCTGAGCCAAATATGTTAAACTATGTCAATTTCAACTTTGCTATAAGAAATATCTTAAATCAAATGGTCAGATAATCTCAGCATCCATGTGAAATGCATTCATTTTATACAAATGTTAGCTTTTAAGTTAGTAATTTGGAGTTAAAACTTTGACCGATTTCCTCAATTTAATTGTTCTGAAACAGTCATCATTTAAGTTCACTTCATGAATATTGTTAACAGTTAAGCCCCCGTCACACTTATTCGGAATCAGCAGGAATCAAGCAAAATAAGCCTGAATGAAGAATTTTCAAAATTTGCACCACATTCAGGAAAAAAGTTCAACCTAATATGATATAATTTTGTTATTGTATGGATTTAAATCAGTTTTGAAATAATAATATAACTTGTACATATCTTTGTCACAGGTTTTCTCCCAACATTTGGGCCATGTTTTATCAACTTGTATGGTTCCCCAAGAGAGTTCTCCGAAATGCCTGATGAGTACGAACACCTCAATGAAGGAAAGGTAGGTGCATGATATCTTTTTTATCCAGCACTCACTGTTGTTTTTCATTTTATATACTATTTTATTTAGTATTGAACAATTTTTATCATCGTTATCCTTGTCATGTGACATAATACACTTGTGTATAAAGCTGGAAAATGTCAGCCATTTTATGTACTCCCCCCTTTCTCAGTTTGCACCTGCATTGTAATAAAACCTCTGATGAAATAGATCCTTCACATCTTATTTGTCCATCACCTCTTCAGAATAAATGTAAATATACATTTGACTATTTTTTCAGCGTTTTGAAGTAAGCATTTATTTAGTGATATGTATCCATGCAGTGAGAGTGGCTTAGACCAACATGCTTAGACTTGAGGTTTTCAGCAGCTGCCTTAAACACTATTAGAATCTAGAATCAGATGTTTTGAATACCTTTTTGCTTTTCAAAAATCCAAATTGTTGTGAGCACATTTTTCAAAAAAAAAAAGTTTTTTTAAAGTTAAAATATTTGCATTTATTAAACAAAGCAGCTGTCTTCTTATCCACTGCCCACCTTTACTGTTAAAGTATTTCTTCCAATGCTTCAGAAGCTTTGATGATCTTTTCAAAACACTTTATTTTAATTGTGGTTTTACCCAATTCTTACCCAGAAATATGCTGTCTACAGTAATACAGTGGTGCAAATTCATATCTTAAGATGATTATTATGATTAAGAGAGAGAAAGAAAAGATTCTTTCTACGATTATCCTGACATGTACTTGTATGTTTAAGTTTACGAGTTTGTGTTGTATATAAGTATTTGAATATGTCAATTGATTTTTCTATGAGTTAGTTTTTATATAAGCTAGATATTGGCAGTAGATCTAGTATTTTTACTTTTTCTTTATTATTTGTAGTCAACTTAAATACAATTGCTTTATCCTTCCCTTCACTGCTGTGAGTTTTAACTATGTTGTTGTACCCCTTTTATGCTAAGGCTTTCGAATTTTATCTTGCTATTTAAATAGGGAAAAGGCAGACAGGTGAGGTACCTTGCTAGTGGTTTCAACGTTATATGTGCACTTGGTATTATTACATGCACCCCCCTCTCTCCACCTGCCCCTCGCAACAAGCTTTATTACAGAGAAAAAGCTTCTGGCTTTGGTCTTGGGATTAATTGTGTACTTAATTGAATAACATTTTAGTGATTATTTGTGGAATCTAAAAAGATGGTATTTTATCAATCTGTGGCTTTCTAGTATTCAGGACTGGCAGCAGAAATTGCACAAGCAGCATTTTCCAAATGTTATTGAACAATTGACCACCCCTCTTGAAAATTTATATATTTGATTGAGCTTTATTTTCCTTTTGTTTTAATTGTTTGTGTATATATTGTTTCTATGTTATTGTTGTTGTTTACATTGTACTGGTATTAAAGTTTGTGTTTTAAATAACAGTAGTTGGCCTTTCATCTCACATTTAACAATGGCTAGCGTAGCATGTGCAAATTATCATTGAAGAATGTTGAAATAATGTTAAATTGATAATCAGAAAATTGGTGAAGAATGGGGCATATACAAATGTTTTATATTTCAATTGATAAAAATGATATGAGGGATAGATACCCAAAAAATCCTGTGACAGATATGGTATGCATATCACATATATGTAAAATGTGTTATTACCAGAGGCGGATCCAGAGATATTTTCTGACAGTCTTCCAAATTATCTTTGTTGATCCATCCTTCATTTTTGACCGTCTTCCGACAGAAAAAATTAGATGCCCATCAATGTTAACTTAAAAATCTGACCGTCTTCCAGAAGACCCAGAAGACGGCCTAAATCCGCCCCTGATTACTGTAGATCAGTCTTCATAAGGGCTGTACAAGGGCTCTAGTTCCAAAAACATCCACTAGGAGTGCCACCTTCTAATGAATCAGAAATATGTATTTAATGTGTAAAATGTGAAACCTGTGCACCTGTAACTTTTTGTGAAATAGGTATCTATCTCATCTGATATCATTTTTGGGATGTGATTGAACAATTTGACACATTTGGGACACAAAATACAGTGTTTAAAGTTAATGCAAATGGTTTAATGTGGTGAATGTTTTTAATGTTATTGATATTACTTTGAAAAAGGATGTTTTGATTAAAATTTTTGTTGAATTTGATAATTTTGCTTTCTACTAACACTTGTAACTATACTTAAGAATACATCAGTTACACTGATCACCTTCAAATTATTTTCTAAGTTAAATTCAACTTTTCAACTTAATTTACATGTAGAACTTTGACTTAACGATTTCCACTATTTTCTCTTACTGAATAATCCTTTAACACATCTATTATTTACTGAGTAAAACACTTCATTAATCATTTGATATGCAATTAATTAGAATATAACTACTCTTTTATAGTCTCTAGTGGTTGACATTTTTTGCGAAATGAATAATGTCATGAAAGGGAACAGATCACAGTGATTCTGGATCTCACCCTGTATATCACACCAATGGTGATACATAAGTCTTGAAAGATAGGCAATATGTGATATGTTACCTGTGAATTGCAGGGTGAAGGATGTGCCTATAGGGGGCGCCTCTTGATAGAAATGAAGACGACAGTTGGAGAATTGCCAGAGGTTCCTGTAGAGGACTTGCCAAATGATGACGTGCTCCGTGTACAAGTATGTTTGTTCCTTCAAAATTGTTTATAGATGGCAGTACAGAGTTATTTTCCATGTGATAGTCACCTCAATGCACCCAGACTTTCAAAGTTTTTACATGAAATTTTCTGCCAGTAAGGTTGTATTGTTTGAAAAGAAAATGAAGAGTTGGATCTTGGTGTACCAGTTAACCTTTGTAGTAAACAGTTTTGTCTATTATGATATTTCAAACATTTTTAATATCAAATTTGGCATCGTATATGATAATTATCAAACACAAGCTGAAACACTTTCATACCATAAGCTTATGCTTGTTTTTGTTAATTATCATATATGATCCAGGTACCAAGCTAATGAACATTTTTGTTCAAATTTGGATCGTTTTGATTTTTTTATCCAGAAATACATGAGGCGACGCAAGTTTAAATTGCATGTGGCTTTCCTAAGTGCAACCATGATCAATGCCACAGATGCCCCTGTAGAGTTTGAAGTCAGCATTGGTAAGTGTTGTTTTTAAATAATTTCTTGGAATCCAGTGCTTTTCTTGCTAAAACATATGTTTAGAAAGCAAGTTAATTAAATTATCAACTAATTCTGGTAATTTTAGTATGTTGCCCATGATAGGTATGACTTTGCTGCCTTCATACTCTTAGATCATGCATAATTATAATTATTAATAATAAAAATAATCAGATGCATTTTCTTGGTGATGAAATAAGATTTAGCATTTGTTATAATTAGGTAATTATGGAAACAAGCTAGATGAGAGTGTCACCCCCTGCGCCTCCACCACCCAGCCTACCAACCCTATATTTGATGGCAACAGCTACTACTACCTCCCCTGGGGGGACACTAAGCCTTGTGTGGTGGTGGATTCCCACTGGGAAGACATAAGCTGGAGACTGGAGGCCCTCAACATGCTCAATAGAATATTGATAAGGCTGGTGAGTATTTAGAGCTCAGAGATTTAATATGTAGGAAAAAGCTTTATTTTATTATGAAGTAAATTTTTGCAATTTGATTTGGAAGTTATACTGATTAATGAAATACTGTATGAATACTAATGAAATCTAAGAATTTTTTGTTTCATCCCAGGTTTATCAGTGTTTTTGGAATCAGATATCGATTTATATTGATCTCCAAAGACACACTGTATTCAGAATTATTTGAGCAGTATGCCATGTCTAAATCCTGTTAAATACAAGTTGATAGGGAAATACATGAGCCTTTAATTTTTGTGAAATTTTCAGCAATCTCATGTGAAAAGGGTAGAGTTATCCATCAAGTCCAACTCCTCTCTGGAAGAGAGAGCTGAGCTGCTGATAGCCCTGCTGGACCAGCTTATTGCAGACTGCAGGTTAGACATTTCTGAATACTTTCATATCATAACTTAGAACTTCCATTCCCGTGCAAGTATTTGGAAGAACCTGAAGGCATACACACTTTAGTATTAAAATTACCATTTTTTAATTTTTCATTCAAACTGGTTTGAAACTCTTAAATCTCCAGTGAAATTTGTGATTATTTTTGCTTTATTTGAATTATGCAATGTGAACAATTATATGAATTTCGTGCATTGCTGCTGTATATCAGAGTGCAGTTATTTAGGAGATTTTTTTATCAGTATATAACTTTTGAAACATAGATAGATCATTCAAAATAAAGATAAGTAAGAAATGTAAGACAACAAAAATCCTGCAGGTGGTCCTTTAAGATGTTTTAAATCTGATTTTATTTTTATTGTCAAGTATAAGTAAGTGTTTTTCTTATAAGATCATGATTTCCACAATTTAAACACTTATATTCCTGTATACAGTCAACCCTTGCCCCAACCAGAGCCAGGCAGACATATACCAAATGAACTGGATGTCCATCTCCAGGAACACCGCCTGGCCGAACTGGATTTTGTCAAGGGTGAGGCCTTAAAGTTGAGGGAGAATGCCACTGATGTGACAGATGCTCTCCAAGAGGTTGAAGGACTTGCTTCTTGTCTGAAGAATATTGCAGTGGAGGTAAGCAATCTAATTTTATTTTTTTATAATTATTTGTTTTGCTTTCTCTTCTTTGTTGCAACTGCCCATGCCCAGGCTTGTCTTTGTCAGTACTCCATTGAATTGGGTATATATATATATATATATATATATATATATATATATATATATATATATATATATATATATATATATATATATATATATATATATATATATATATATATATATATATATATATATATATATATATATATTATGGTGATAATTTTTGGCTGGTATTTTATCATGTTGTGCATGTTTAAGTTAAACTGACTTCTGTACAGATTTTATGAGGTACACACTCCTGGTACTCAGTAAAATTACCTGATTTGCAGGTGTTTGTAAAAGAAGTATTTAAAGCCAAAAAAGAAGAAACAAAAATTCAGAAAATAGATTTAAATGTTTTTATATGGTTTATTTCCAGCCACAGAACAGTATGCCGGATGTGGTGTTTTGGATGATCTCAGGGGAGAAGAGGATTGCTTTCTACAGGATACCTGCCAACGATGTCCTCTTCTCTGCTGATGAAAACACAATGGGGAAAGACTGTGGACAAATATCCACTCTTTTCTTGAGGGTGAGGCATTCACCATGTCACATATAGGTTTTTTAAAACATTCACTTGTGTTGAGTTGTATAAAATATTCTTTAATTTTCAAAAAAATATAGTAGTAAAAAAGATTTTTGAAAGCTTATGGTACAGTACAACATGAAGCAATTTGGTACTGCCAGCTTTAGGTATTGCTCATCATATTTAATTCTCTTTGTTTTCAAACTGCATTTTATGTTTTAACAAAAAAGAACATGATAAAAAAAGGTTGTTATGATGTGTATTTTGTTGTCTTTAATCTGAGCACCTGACAAATTTTTTCACATAGGACATTTACCAAACCTCCCCCCCTCCCCTTTTTCTTTTTTTAATTGATGCACAACATGTTTTAGTGGCCATCGGAAAAGACAACAAAGACCACCAAGACAGACCTCCCTGGCGTGATCAGAGCTAAAATATGGCTTGGCTTGGAGAAAGATGAAATGGAATGGCATAAAATGCAAACAGCAGGAGAACTGGCGGTGTTTGCAGAGACTGTGAGTTTGTGACTCATATAGAATAGATCTTTTTTTTATGCATCATATTTGCATACAATGATACTAATGAAAAACTTTTTTTTGATACATGTATCTTGAGACATCAGCTATAATCCTAAAATTTAACAATTCTAGTATGAAAATCAAGTAGACATGCCCATAGTGGGATGGACCAACAAAGGCCCTGCATTGAGAAGACCAGCCTGGTCTGACAACACAGGAAAGGTAGGATAAAACAGAGATATCACATATTTACCTTTGGATATGAGAAAAAATGCATATTAATACATGTTATATATATTTAAAACAAATTTCTTTTTTTTTTTTGGTTATGTGATGCCCAATATCTATATATTGTGAGAACAATGATTTTAAACAGCATGTTTACAGTCTTTTAAGAAGTTAATTATCTTAATAAAATGTCAAATGTTTCTTAAATGATTTCAATCGCCCTGCAAGTACCATCAAATATTACTCAGTGCAATAATTGTTGGTAATTTATATGTTCCCAGTTAAAACTGAAAAAGGAGAAGTTTGTGCCACCCCCTGGTTGGCGCTGGGAGGGTGACTGGAAAATCAGTCCAGAGCTGAGGTAAGTAACTGAGTCTTTTTTTTTCTAAAAGAAATTATGGTCTTAGATTATACCTAGAATTAGTCCATTACCCAGAATCTCCCAAGTCATATGCTCTGATGAGTGACACTATATCCACAAAACTGCCCATTTTTAGTACCTGCAAGCTGTTGTAACTCTTGTACCTGTGGTTGAGCATTCTCAGTAGCTTGTAGCTACATGTAGATAAAATGATAATCTATATATTTAGCAAAATAATATGTCAAAGTGGCAAGGATATGGATTTCAACATGGTTGTATAGTGAAAATAGATTACACTAATTAAAGAGAAAATTATTTCATAGCTTTGATAAAAATATCATTTCGTAACTGCTGTGTATGCCTGCATCTTTGGTACCAAATCATTCTGTGATACACACCTAACTGTTGCCATGGTGAGATCCAAGTCCACTGTGAATCATTGTACTTTAAATACAAATATGTCATCGAGGAATTAAAATTAGAATTTAACTCACTGCATTCTTTTTTCTCCTCTGTAGTCTCCAGTTTGACAGAGATGCTGGTCACACTACTTTCCTGGAAGATGTGTATGAACAGCAGGCCAGATACCCTGGGGGAGCCTGGGGACCCTCATCACAGAGACCATGGGCTGATCTGGTCAGTACAGGCCACTCTAGTGACCCTTTTATAAAGCCTCTCTTAATACACATACTTATATGGATTGAAATGTATTTCATTTGAAGTCCCTTCATCTTTAGGTTTCCTGACTGTCCAGTTTGAAACATTGTTAAGAGTAATATGGTATGATATATAATGATAATTACTTAGCTTATTGTAGTTAGGTGCTGTTAGTCACACTAGCAAGGGCATAACTTATCCCACAGTATCCTTATTTATTTACTTATTTAGGAGGATTTATGTTATGTCAACACACTCCAGAGTAGTTTTATAATTATATTTCATGTATTAATTATTTCAGAAAGGGGATCCACTGTCCTCCCTGGAGGAGTTCCCTCTACCTGAGGGATGGAAGTGGGATGATGCTTGGCAGGCAGACCTCAAAAGAGCTGTGGATGAAGAGGGTAAGATTGGATTATTTTGAACCTTCTCATCATTTAGTTGGAAAGGCGGGGGAGTTACCGTGACAAGTATTTATGAAATACAGCACAAATGCACCAAAAGTTCAACAATTCTTCGGAAAAGTGAAAAACCCAAAATCATATGTTGGCAAAAGCAAGATATGAACCCCACCTGAAAATGAAAAAAATACTTTGTTTCTTTGATCAAATGTCAATTTAATGCGTATTAAGCTGTAAATGTGTTCATATTAAGCAGCCTATCATTTCTGTTTATTAGGCTGGGAGTATTGTGTGGAGGCAACACTGGGCAGCTATGGGCCTGTAGAGAAGACATTTCACCTGTGTAGGAGAAAGAGATGGGTGAGACAAAGAACTCTGGTGGCAGATATGAAAAAACTGGCAGAAAAGGTATTTTTAAAAACTTTGCTCACTGGATAGTTATTATTTTGCCTCTTTTTTCAAATATGAAGATTTTTTTTTTCAGTTTTCTTATTAGATGTGCCATACTTTAAAATGTAAATTAATTATCATGATGATCAACCTCGATTTTATGTGAAAGGATGCGTATTATTTATAAACCATATGCATGTCATAATAATTGGCGATTCTGTTTGTTTGGATTGGTTTGTGTTTACCATGTTTAATTTTGTTCAGATTATTATTCCACAATTTGGTATACCAAAATGTACAGCAGGAAAATTCCATAATTCATTCAATATTTGTAGTCTTACATCATTCAGTATTTATTTATAACAACAAGAATTAATCTAAAAAAATTAATGCTTTATTCCAGGAAAAGCAACAAAAGGAGGTGCTGGAAGGCTGGGAGTATGCACCATTGTTTGGCATGAAGTTCCACCTAAAGGAGAGAAAGATGGACATGGTCAGGAGGAGAAGATGGCACAGGAAGATGGTGGCAGAGACCAAGGGAGCAAGTTGTTTCTTTGCCATTCAAGATGTAAGGAGTTTTCTCTTTCAGTATATTAACCATTTAATGTTTTAAAAGTCTTCAGACCCAGGTAGATTTGTTGAAGTCAGTTTATTTCACTACCGCAGCCCTGAAGTCCAAGAGTACATATTAGTTATAATTATTTAAATTATGTCTCAAAGTAGAAATAATGACATTTAGCCTCAAAATTATGTTAAATACAAAACTTATATGTGTAATCAGGCCCGTAGCCAGCAATTTCAAAGGGGGGGTTCTTTTTCTGAAAAAGTGGACCTTTTACCATATAATCCCCATGTACCTAGGTCAAATTTTACCCAGAGTGGACCTTTTTCCAGCAAAAAGGGGGGTTCTTTCGAACCCCCCGAACCCCCCCTGGCTACGGGCCTGGTAATTGAATAAACACGAACTGCATGTTTATTGATTTTCAGGATGATGACAAGGACAAAGAGAAATATTCAACAGCATTAGCTGTGCCAAGGATGTACTTGACTTTCAAGAGTGAGTACAGTGATGAGATATATTGGGTTTGAATATCATTAAGTCATAAATATTTTTATGTCAATTAATTTGGGTTAAAATGTTTTTCTGTAGTATGTATTTTCATATTAGTAATATAAAAATAGTCTTCTGTTGTTTTCTTTGGTGTAGATTGAAGCATTAACAAAAATATTTTATTATAAAGTCAATACTTTTACATACTAGAGGCAGTGGTTTAAAGTAAGACTTCATGAATTGTAGGCAATTAATGTAGAGTTATTAAATTCCTAAGTTTTGTGAATTTTTCTTCTTATTCTTCCAGCTGTTCAGAAGTACCAGTTAAGAGCCTATTTGTATCAAGCCCGGGACTTACTTGCAGCAGACGACTCTGGTGTCTCAGGTAATGAATAAATAGTAAGACAGAATATATCTTCCGAATTGGTGAAGGCATGCAGAATATCAACAAGTTAAACCTGATAACTTCTTTTCAAAAGGGTTTGCTTTACACAGTTGTAGAAGGAATTGTCCCTAAGAAGAATATCCTATATTGGACAGATTATGTAGGGTATTCTGAGCTTCCAAGAGGTTAATAAAATCTTACTGGGGACATTTTAGATATTTGCCAAATATGTATTTATGATGATGCTCTTTGTGTATTTCCAGACCCCTATGCTGTAGTCTCTTTCCACACACAAAGTCAGACAACAGAGAAATTGAAGAAAACACTGTGCCCAACCTGGGATCAGACCCTGCTGTTTGAGGAAATAGAAATTCATGGTGATCCTCTCCTCATAGAGCGCCAGCCACCAGAGATCATCATTGAGTTCTTCGATCACGATGTGGTGGTATGTATATGGCTAAGAAAAACTCACAAAAATTTTATTAATTTTTTTTCATCAAAGAAGTTTGTTCACTTAGATAAAACTTAAACTTTTCAAATACATTGTATATTGATAACAGTTTTCATTGGTTCAGAGGTTAGTCATTTGTTTAGGAAACTAAAGATGTTTTTTAAACTTTGAGGCATGATATTTTAACTTTTTATTAGCCATGTCATCCCAACTTCTGGAGCTAACACTGAAAAGTCATTTTGTTCCAAGGCCAATTGATGAAGGCTTGAACCAAAAAAAATCAAATATCAAGATATAATTTATTTGTTTACCAAAATTTGTATATATTACATGTTTATGTTGTATCACCAGGGCAACCCAGACTACCTGGGACGTGCAATAAGTGTCCCGGTCGTCTTCCTTGATCCCTCTCAGTACAAGCCCACCAGACTGAACTGGGTCCCCATTAACAGAGGAAACAAGAGTGGAGGAGAACTACTGGCAGCATTTGAACTGTTTGCTGTAAGTTATCATTGATCTCTTTGGAACACAATTGTCAGTGCTTAACACAACCATGCTTACAAATACCTACCTCTAATAAAGGAAAACTACAGCAATATTTCATCATTTTCATTTTAATGATTTAATTATGAATATACCTTAAACTTTCTATTACCATTTGTATTATAGCTTATATTGCTCCCCCCTTCTTCCCCTGATCATTTTCCTTACTGTGCTCCTGTACGAAGGATGATCATTTTCCTCACTGTGCTCCTGTACGAAGGAAATACATGTAGGAATGTCAGGAAAATACCCAGAGAAATAATTAAATCATTGAATTATTTTGATATAGGGGAAGACTACATATTTTCAGATTGTTGAAATGGTCAGGGCATTTAAAACTTTGTGCCATTTTATTTTGTATCCCCCCAGATACCAGAGGAAAGTATTGTTGAGCAAAGCATCGGTGAACCAACGGTTTGTAATGCTGCATGCGGCATTGAGCATGGACTATTTGTAGTTAATAGGGCATCTCCCTTGGCCTATCTCCCTTGGCCTGCTTATCCCCTCCCCCCTTGACCCCCCAATGCCCACCTCTACCCACCTCTACCCCCACCAAAAAAACAATATGCTATTTTGAGATATAATTAAGATCTGACCTATCTAAAAAAATTGTTTTTTTTTTTTTTTTTTTTTTTTGGAGACAAGAAAAATATATTTAAATTTTGAAACACATTTTCATGAAGTTAACCTCAAAAAGTTTAGGGATTTAACCATGTTGCTTCAGATAGTGGCTTGAAAACAGCACACATGAATCAGCTCCCAAGGTAATGTTAACATGATATAGATGTTAGCAATCCTGTCCCCCTCCTACTGCATACATGCATTAGATGCATCAGCTTCCTACCATTATTGAAAATGTTCTTAAAATTTGACACATTTTGTGTTTCCTGTTATTAGATCTATCCATCAGTGCCAGTACTGTTGAAATAATTCGTGTTTTAAAGCAAAATTCCCACATGGCCAAAACAGCATGCAGTAACAGTTACAATTATGTTGACCTTAAAATTTTTTGCAACAATACGTAGTCTTATTATTTCTTAAGAATATAACATGGTATTTTGAAGTTACAACACAAACACATATATACAAAAAATGCTTCTAGTAGTGCAATGCCAAGGTATGAAGTATAGACATACTTCAGAAAGTTTTGCCACTGCCTGATCCCCTCTGCCCTTAAGACTGATTTTTTAAGATAAAATTTTGTAGCTGTTAATATTCACAATGGCAACTTAGGTAACTGTGATGGTTGTGCACAGAGAGAAGATTCACTTTTATGTTCAGATTTAAATTGTTAACTAACAAAGCATGGGTTAAATGAAAAGGGTATTATGTATTAAGGTTCATTTTGATCTTTGTACTAAGTTATATGATTGGCTTTTTTTTCTGGAAAATGGTTTGTGTGTTTTATTTGGAATTTACTTATTACAGTGATTTAGATGATTTATATTTGTGATATTTAAGCACTTTTATCTGACTTTGTACCATGTCTCAACATATTTCTTTTTCAAATGGATATTAATAAGGTCATGTATTGGTATATTTTACACAAGCAGTTTCCATATCTCTGGAAAACTATTGTAAGAGGAAGAAGAAGCAGGGGCAGTTTATTATAAAAAGAGAACAGAGATACAAAAACACTATGACATCATAAATTGAAAACTGCTCTTCTCAATCTGATTTAATGCTGTATTATGTGACCTGGTTTTTCACATCATGACTTGAAGTAACAAAATAAATGGAAATTGGAGAGTGCCCCCCCCCCCCCCCTCCACCCCTTTTTTGCCATTTCTCAGAGTATAATGATTTTACAACAAATTTGCCATTGGGAAGCAAGACTCGTTTCCCTTCCATCCTCACTCAACAAAATCTAGGGTCCACCAGTTATCTGTCATTGGAGGGCCGGTATTTGTATGAGAAAGGTCATCTTGCACGTGCCAATTTAATGGATACAGATTACTACTAATTATATAAAATGCTTAGATCTATCACTTGGTTTATTCAAAAGCTACCTTTTTTACTCATGCAAGTAAACTTAACAGCTAATTCTTGTCTTTTGTACAATTGTGCTCTAATAATATTCTTGATATTTACCATATTATTACATCAAAGTCAATATTCCCTCTAGATTTGCATTTTATTTTCACAATTTTTTGTTATGATCAAGCATAATCATAATTTAAAAAAACCCATTTATCTATTGATTCATGTTTACAATGCAATAAGTTTAATATAGAGAACATGAAAATTGTGGTGGTCACTCAGGGTTTCCCACACTGAACATCTAAATATTTTCTATTTATTTTTGGCAGTGGATACGTGTTTATTGCGGGTATATTTATTTTGCCTTCATTTGCACATATGACCCTGGTGGCATTGATCACATCTATCCTTGAAGATGAAAATGAAACTTGAACCTGAAAATTATAAGTTAAAATTGATATACATCAAGTTGATTGTGTGAACTGAAAGTTATATTTTCTGATTTGTCTCCTTTCTTGTAGATGACGGACAGAAAAGACTTGCCATTCTACCCACCCAAGAAAGGAGACAACTTTATTGTCCCCAGTGGCATCAGGCCAGTAATGCAGAGGACAGCTATTGAGGTATGGAACATTCCACAAATTCCAGGCAACGAAGAAGAATTTTTGTGGTCAGATTCCCCCTCCCAAAGGAGGAAGATAGTGTGCACGCACACAAATACAGATGCACGCACACTCACACATACACACACACAAACACATTTTTAGGAAAAAAAACTTTGAAATTGCTGGCAAGATATATGTGAAATGTTGACTATATTCTAGGTTCTATGCTGGGGTGTTAGAAATCTGAAGAAGTACCAGTTGTCCAGCATCAATTCACCAGCTATTGAGTTTGAATGTGGAGAACATCTGCAGACCACCAAAGTGATGAGAAGCGCCAAGAAGAACCCAAATTTTGCTGAGCCTCTCTTGTTTTTTGATGTGGTAAGATTGACAGGAATATTAAATTGTATAATTTATTTATGACCTCTTTTTTGACAGTGAAGTAAAATGTAAGTTCCAGAGTTTGAAAATTTTTACATTATATATTTAAACAGTATTTTGAATTTTAGAGTAAATCTGCCATTATGAATTTGATTGTGATTTTTAGGTTGTTATCATAATAATAATAAGAAATACTTTGACTATTGTCTTTTCTGAATAGAAATATATTATACTATTGCAACAGTGTGTTTAAATTCAAGGCATTGTTGTGTAGTTAATATTATAAATAGATATAAGTGTGGCACTTAAGAATAAAAAGACTATAAGACTACTAAGTTTAGTACAATTCAATTTCACTGTTTCCTTCAATTACCAGTTAATATAAAATAATTTCCAGATCATTTAAAACACGTCACTATTTCAGATGTTACCTAAGGATGAGCTTTACATGCCTCCTATGAACATCAAGGTACGAGATCACCGTGAGTTTGGTCGTAGACCCGTGGTGGGCAGATATTCCATCTCGTCCCTGAAGGAGTACCGCTGCGACCCCACTGAGTCTCAGAGCTTGTTGGAAACAATGGGGAATGGGCCTGGAACACCTACACCCAGTACCAGCAGAGGTAAGACTAGGGAGAAATAGACACAGATAATGGGACATATAATGAGTTCCCATCTGAAACTGCCAGTAACCATGTAATGTTATTTTTAGAATATTTTGGTCAACATACTTCATGTTTTTATAAGTCCTTGGAGTTAAAAACCTTTGAAAATATGTTCGTACTGTATTTATAATTCTGATTTACATGTACCAGTTAAAAGGGTGTTTTGATAAGAAAGGGCACTGTGCTAATTAAAAAGCTGCTCACTTTTTCAATTGTTTTTTATGATGTTAATTCTGATTATATAATATATATAATGTAATACATGTTGTTTGGACATCGGTGATGTCAGTTTTCCCCAGTGTTCATTAATCAGTGAGTTTACTAATAAAGAGTGAATGCCTTGCCATGCTGCCCTCAAAACTAATAGTGCATGCATGAATTCTGTAATCAAGAAAAAAATTTTGAATAAGTCCGTGCACAAATAACTTAACAAATATGAAAATACCCACAAAGTTTTTAAAAAATCACTCAAAATATGACTTCTCACTCATAAGATATTTTCTATTCTTTTGTCACTTGAAAAGTTATGGGTACATTGGATTTGGCCCAGTCCCGTATGGCGGAACTGTCGGGTAAATTCCGAGGATTAACGGGCATAGGATCTCCCAGCACCAGTACTGAGACTGACCACTTGGTCAAAGGTAGCTGAGAAAAAAAAAATTTGGACCTTTGGGAGTTTTAATGTTGTTTGACTATTATACTTATACATCTAATCCTATATTAACCCAGGTTGGCTTTTGCTTTGTGAATGTTATCCCCTGTGGTGGTATCAAGGACAGATTTTAGGGATGATATGATTTTCAATAAATTTCTTTGAAAAATCCCCATCTGACTGATTCTTCTGTCTTCCCAGGATCAGTTCTTATTTTTTCAATACCCCTGTTTGTCCTTATACCTTACTGTGGAAAGTATACCTGTCTAACTGCTCTTATAAATGTCATTGTGGCGATGTTAAATGTCATTGTGTTGATGTTAAATGTTCTCAGATTGCCCTTCCCAGATTTTGACAATTTTCTGTAGTACTTGTAGATGTCTCTTAGAAGCATAAGTGCCTCTTACTACATGTAGAAATCTTGAAATTAATTTTTTTGGTGCGTTTTTTCTAATCTAGATAAGAATTAGATGGGTTTAGATAGAATTGACCTCCCCCCCCCCCCCCCTTTTTTTTTTTTTTTTTTTTTTTTTTTTTTTTTTTTTTTTTTTTTATTTA